TTCACTTCTCTGTTACGAAATTCATATAGACATCATGTCCATCATTGTTCTTTTCTAGGAATTTCGCTTTTCAGTGCACCTCCGGTTCTTCATGATATTTCAAATTTGATATCTACAGGCTGGGAGACCTGCATGATAAATGTTAACTAACGCTCCTAAAAAATCAGTTCAAATGTTAAATAAAAAGAAGCACCAGTTGCAACTTTACATGAAACAATACATTTCTCGGCTAGTAAGCGAATAAAATATGACGCTTTTACAAATAACCCGATGATCCCATTTCTTGACTCCTCTGCGGATATCTCAGTCGTGAAAACTTATTTAATATTGATGCGAGGTCTGTAGATGAATTGTGCTCCGTATCGAAAGTTATCCTCGACATACTTTAAATATACTAAAAAAAAAAGTCGAACAAGAAGTGAAAGCATAGCCAATTATCACCGAAGCTACGTACTCTTCCCTTGTCAGTAAAAGGAACAATATTTAATTGGTTTACTTGTTTCAATATCTACACAAATTGTTGATACACATATCTATACCGTTATCCGGATGTAAAGAAGTGCGACAGCCGTTTATACACATAGCGTTATTATCCATTTTACGGATGACGCTTCGTATGAATATTAATCTTTCCTATCTACAATATTTAACCCTTTACCAGACGCAATGCATGAGGATGCACGACATCCTGAGATGCATCCATTACAGCCATTATCACGTTACGTCTTCAGATTGCTGGTGTGCATTGCAGATGTTAAAACGCATGAATTATACATTTTGGTTTCCTTCCATTTTTAAAACCGTCTTAGGAAAGTATATTCAAATCACAAATAAAATCTGCAACACGCACGCAAACGTCGACTACCTCTTTAATAGATCCACGTCTACTAGAGATAAGTGGACCATTCGGCAAAGGGTTAAATCCTAAACATGTCTTACCAGATACTGCCCGAGAATGTTGAAATTTTTGTGGCGACTTTAAGGGGCTATACTTTCGATACGCTGCGATATTGTTGTTCTGGCTACTCAAGGAACAATTTTTTTCAGTAACGTGATTGATGTCTACGACGGATGTAGAAAATGAAAAATAACTCAAGGTGAGATAACCCTGAGAAACGAGTAGCAGTCGTTGCTTCTGGGCTGAAAATGTTCTTATTTTTTCTTCGTTACATTTTTCTTTTTTTTTTCATTTCTTGTCCAGAGAACATTATTGGGATTCCTGGAGTGTCCTGTAACCATGACAAAAATATCGCTCAATGTATTCGTACGATGAGGCTCTCTCATTTTCGACACGCTCATGGTTCCATTTTCGAAGGTACCACATTAAACGCAATAGTAGGCACAAGCGCTGCCACGTTAATTACGAATGTCAAAAGTATAAAAAGGAGTGGCCCCTTGCGTTTATCGACTCTGCGCCCGCCGTATGCAAACCTATTCGTCGGTTTTCAAGTTCCTTACATTTTGACTTCTTAAGCTCTGTATATTCTCTTCCTCGCGATCGTTTCCACTCCTGTACTCTCATTACCTATCTTCTTCATGGACTATTGCTCCTATATTTTCTGCTACCTTTTCCTCGTATTTTCATTTTTACATCGTTAATCATTCGATTTTCTGACCCCTGTAATCGTTTCGCATTTAAATTCTGTTATCGATTATTGTTCTCGTCGTCGATCCCAGTATTGATATCGAGACGATAATAGAACAATATTAGTAATAATAATTCATGGCATTGTATCGATAAAAAAATGATGCGTATGCTGTACCGTACATTGCTGGCGCAACTAAAGTGTATCATGAGAAACTTTTCAATGCCCAATTTGTTACTAGATTCATACAGAAATTTTGAAAACACGAAAATATGAATCTAGTATCAAATGAACCGATGAAATTTGTAAAATGCATCTTTAATATATTATGTTCCAAGCTTTATTCACTCGAGTAGAAATTATAGTAGGACTTTGCAGAATTTCGAGTTTGATTTTAATTCTTTTTTCTAATCAAAAGTACTTTTGATATATTTGGTGAAGCCTCTTTCCCGAAGAGGCTTAAACTGAGCTAAGTAATTTTTATTTCATTAGCATAAATACTCTGTTGTAATTCATACTTCTACGTACATTTATATAAATTAGTGTCACAGAGTATTACCACTAACTTTACTGTGTTAGAGCATTACCGTGATTTTGTATCATAATTATTTTTTCTATGTTTGGTAAATATTTTGTCATAAATATTTTCGTGCAACTCCGTGACTTATTTTATAGTAGGTATACTTCATTTGAAAAGGTACCTCAATTTTCATATCTTCTATAAAGTATACCATTATGAACAACGATTGTGAATATTTATCGCTATTCTTTTATTTTTTGTTACTAATCTTCTTAATTTTGCATGTGTGCTAGAGGAACTGCGTTGTTTGTCTTTAATCGCTCTACGTGATACTTTCAATATTCAACAAATAAGAAATTCCTTATTTAAGTATTTATTAGACAAGCCTGCCCAAACTTCTGCTCGAGTGATTACAGTTGTTCAAGTTGTTAATGTTCGTAATTGTCGTCATGTTCTACTCATCCCATAATTCTTTCTAATTTCTTTGCCTCTAGCAGAACCTAACTTATTTTTTGTTACTTAATCTTTTTTCTATCGGCAAAGTTGTTTCGAAGCTCGAAATGTTTCTGTTCTTTAGATTTTAGATTTTCGCTATTTTAGGTTTATTACCGTTGATTCTGACATGAAATCGGCACAAAAGTAAGAGTGTTGTTAACACCTAATAACACTCGATGTCAATGCAATAAAGAATAGTTAGAGTCATTAATCATATTTCGATTGGGTAGTTTCACATTAGATTAATGATAAAAATATCATTCGTTCATTGTCCGTAATTTTCAAAAAATAATGTATATAACTCTCTAATTGATGATGGATGACGGCGCAATGAAAAAAAATTCTGCATAACATGGTCTAGCCATTATTTCATTTACTTCGATATGAAGTCAAATTCCTATCTCATTCATTTATCTACGAGTTCTAATCCAATCCGTATTATCCGTTGTTTTTTCGTTGATCTATTACCAAAGTTGTGAATTCACATCCTATCCTTCACTAACAATTGATTCCTGGAATCTTATTTTTAATTCAGTTTCCCTTTTAAATACGATTACTGCTGTCACATCTCAAATCCTCTTTCGCCTAAAGTACTAAAATGTAGTTCTTGTTTGTTCTAATGTTGCGGGCTCAACATGCCAATTATTCGTAATAACAACAATTGCTAGTCCGATATATGTACCATAAATTAATATTAATGTCGCAAACAAAGGGAAATATGCTGTCATGCATTTATTACAAGTTGATTGAGATTGTACTTGAAATTCTGTTTTTCCTAATATCCACTGTTTTGTTCGTTGACGTTGTTGCCAATGTCTAACTTCCTAGCACCTATTGTATATTTAATTGACTATTGATCCGTTTATTTTTTTCTCGTTTTCCTTCCATAAAATTAAAAGCATACTTTCGAGTGCATTTCCTAACTCGATTCTACATTTCTTCTCGACCTGTAGTCGGGTATGACGTGCAGTTGCTGGCATTGGAGCAGTGATTGGCATCTTAAGAAATATAAGTACATCATAAATAACAATACATACTAATAACCGATAAATTTGCTTAACATGCCAATCATTGCGTAATATTTTACCTCCTCGGCAATCGTTCGTAATGGTCGCCACAAAATAAAAAAATTAACACGGCGATAATAATAATATTAATAACGGCAATCGATAGTATTGCAGTAAAAAGAAAACAATATGTAACGAATGTTGCCGATTACACGCAGTCCGTGTAAATGTTACAAATTCAACACCGGAACTTTCAAGTTGCACTTTCCTAATTCCCCAAACTCGTCGTTCACTTCACGCTGTTATTAATATTTTAATTTATGACACCTATCTTGCCTTTGTTAATTTATCATTTACTACGCGCGAAATCATATACATGGAGCAGTCTGACTTTCTTTCATTTTTCTCCAGCCTTATTTTGTTAGTCGCAGGAATGAGGAGCGATTGCCAATTATAGTAAATTACGTTAAGTTCTTAACATTTTCCGTATGGTAACGAAAGAGTAACGTAAACAATGGAAGATCAGTATAAGATCGTAGTGATGAATACGTGACGTTTTAATGGAATGAAAGAATGATTATTTTCAACGTTACGATGTGAACTTTTCCACAGCGATGTAATGTAACATGGAAACGATTTTAACGTCCAATGCATTATTTAGTTGCAACATTACAACTCCTTAAATGTAACATCACGTAAAGGAGTCAATCATAGTTGACGACAACTGTCAGTTCAGGTTCACGTGATTATTTCATGTGACGTTGATTTGAAGGGACATCTTTTTGTTAAAGGTTTGGAATCATAGAAAGTCATTGTAAAATTCTTTCCTCAAGGCATTGTAAAGTTTGAGTAATCACGACACTGACGTTACGTCATAACGTTAATGTCTAATCTATTCGCTATACTTATGTTTATGTCACCCTTTACGTTACCCAACCAGCACCATATGCAACATAACGTAACATAACGAAAAGGACAGTCGGTAGTCCTTTTCATTACGCTACATCATAATGGCATTATGTAACAAGACATTGTCATTGTTTGATCGTGACAATATCCTAACAATCTCGATCAATTGCAGCGCAGTGGTGTATCAGACGGTGATAAGTCCAACTTGGCTGCAAGTCGTGGACAATTTGCAAGCACTCTGCCCATCCTGATCGTTCCTGATGCCTGCTCAACCATCGTCCTGGACAATCTGGCGTGTCAAATAAAATGAATTCGTAGCAACGAAACTCGGTTATACCTCGGTGTCGCCGGGTTCCTTAATCGCGAAATCGACGCAGCGGTAAGAAGAATGCAAATGTAACGACAATTGATGGTAATGCAGTAAAGAGCACGGTGAACGCCGCTGATCATCGCGTAGCTCGTGCAATCTTGAGATATGCACAAAATGGAGACGGGAACGAAACATTTCGTTCGACGTTACTGCTTCGCGTCTGCAATTCTGTCTTTGTTCTCGCCTCCTGCTTTCTCTTGAGGCAGATTCGTCGATTTTGCGGGATCGTTGAATACAAGAAGCAGGGGAAGTCCACCCATCACCATGCATGTGCCCATGCACACGAAACACACGCTGTAGCTTCCGGTCACGTCGCGCAGATAACCTGAAATCATTTCCAAGTGGTAGTGATCGAAAGTTATGGGCGTTTATTTTCTTGCGCCATTAATACATTCGATATTCAACGAGACTGCTTTGTACAATGGCGGACATGAATGCCTCCCCTGCAGATACGGCATCCCCTGTGTAGGATGGGAGGGCATTGATGTTTCCCAGTGTACAATGGCGGACATGAATGCCTCCCCTGCAGATACGGCATCGCCTGTGCAGGATGGGTGGGCATTGATGTCTCCCAGTGTACAATGCAATTTCGAATTTCATTAAAAAGGTATGCATTCATTTAGTTGGGCAAATTGTATGAATATGGATTTTTTATTATTCTTGCATGATTGGTATCATTTATGTGATATGCTATCAAAAGACTTGAAAGAATCACTCTGACGTTAGAAAATCGTACGTCACTACGTGTTTCGTAATTATCTTTGTATATCTGTCAAGAGAATATCGAAGTTTGCTTTAAATGGTACAACGCGGTTTATCGAGTCTCATGACAGTTTGGCGTTGGTTTTGTTTTATCGTAATGACATAGTTTGTTATAATATGACATAATTCTATTAATCCATTGGTGACGATACAGAGAGGATAAGGAAAATCTGTTTAATGTGGGTAAACTGCTGACTCGACTGATAGTACTGATATCGCGGTCAGACTACGGAAAACATTCGCTTATTCTGGATTGCCCGACAATAGGTAGAATGTTGTTGTGCCAATAAACAGATTCTATTTCATATTGTGTCTGTCTTCCGATTGATCCAGAAAAAGTGCGAGCACTCTTTCTTAAGGCGTATTACATCTTGCATATTACGCCGAAATCGACCAATGGATGATATATCGAAAGTGATATCATTAATTGTGTTTGTTATCATAATATTTGGCCAGGTGATAAAAAATTACTGTCACTCGGTGGTCTTGTAGCTGAATTCCTTTAGATCTTAAATCATGTATTCCTTAATTTACAGAAATTATTATAAAAAATAGTCGTTTAGGAATGAAAGAAAGTGAACAATTGTCGGTTCAAAAATTTAAATCAGCGGTGGACGCCGATTCTTGCAATGGCACTGACATTTCATGGAAATATATTAATCGGTTGATTAAAACCATCGAGAAAAGGAGAATAACCAGTTTCACCTTGAAGTCTGGGGAAGTACTTAACTGCCTATATTTACGGTCAACCTATCCCAACCCTGTAATCACTGCATGTGGAACATTCGAGGGACACGTAAATCGATATGCAGACAACGGGCTTCGGCTCACAGAGCATGTAGTGGAAAACCTCGAGCTCATGTGAGTTAGAGAAACGGATGTTATCGATTACTTTTAGTCACTTGCCCTATTTTGGCGTTTCTCCTCCAACCGTATTTCCCTTCAAAATGGTACCTCGCGTTATTTGCATGCAGTTCAGAAATCCAGTCCCATTCGCCGATGCTTTTTTGCAATCAGCTCAATGACCGTTTTATACCAGTTCAAGTCGATCGTTAAAATCAATGATGTATTCTTCGTTGAGTGACTTACGTTCACGTTTTACAAATCCTTTAAGTTTTACCCTCATTCATGGCAGCCGCTCTAAATACCTTTGTGTTGTTATAGAATTTACATATTGCTCTTCTCTGTGTAGAATCAGCATATAATTTATTATTGTTGTAAAAGTATGTAGCGATTATTATGGATGAACTCTTCTTTTGGATATCTTGTATGAATTAGTTTTTCTTTTTTTTTTTAATTATTATAATTGCAATCATTTTTTTCCCTGACCTGCTTTTTTAGTCAGACGAAAAGTAAATAGATATAAGACACGTTTGTTTGAGGTGATACAGTGTACATGTATGAATCTGGGAGCAATGTTACTGTCGGCGATATAACTCGACCCAGGTTGCACCAAGAACTGTGCCAACTGCGTCGACCTTGCTCCAAAAAACTTAATGCGGCTTTCATTCAAGTAATTTCACTGAGAGAATTCCATTTACTGGCACTTTCCTCCGGTATTCCCGTTCTTCCGGCAGTTTTGGTGGAAAATATCTTCGCACATTGGCGACTTCTAATTGGTTTTATTTTGAAGTCTGGTACCATTTAATAGTAGAATCTCGAATTTTACCAATAGGTATCAGAACGTTTGTAAAAAATGATTAAATGGCAGTTATCAAAAGACAAGAATAGCTACCTGTAAGAGGTGGAATGGAGATGGCTCCGATACTCTGGAACATCCTGACGAGGCCATAACTCGAAGATATCTTGTCAGTTCCATATTGGTCAGCGAGAAGGACGGGCACGAGCAGGAACCAACATCCGAGGCATAATCCGTACATCCCCACGGAACATGCCAGCACATAAAACGAGTGCGCCATCGGGATTGCAAGTACCGCCACTCCGGCACCAACCACACTGTTTAGCAAAAAGAAATCCAAGATTTATTTAAATTAATAATTTCCATCACTTCGAACAACCAAGTCACCCTTCTTCGAAGCACTGATAACCTTTTTCCCAAATCGTTTCCTTCCGTGAAAAATCAGTCTGACTACGTTATTTCCAATTTTTTTTTTCCACTACAACTTTCTCCCAACTAAAATTTCTCTTGGGATCCTACATTATCGTTTCTACCATGACATTATAAAACTCGATAGTTCCATTTCAGATTCAAGTTCACCCTGGCTACAGCGTTACTAGAAGGAATAAGTACTAGCCAGACCGATATTGAACAAACGCACGATACGAACAGTATTTAATCTATAGTCAGTGGAGTTATAATAAACTGGGGTTTAAAATAGAGTCTCAACTAACGCAATGTTCTCCAGAATCGACCGGTGAAATCCAATTGCTCCTTCAGATACTTTCGCGGGGAAGTGATTTAAACTTTACTAGCGTTAGTAGGAATGCTGCCTTACAAAATGTACAATAGTACGTCAAGAAGTTGCAATCTGTACCTCCCAATATATCCTTTTCGGCGGTCGAATAGTTGCAGATCCGAAAGCCATCCAAGACCCAATCTGCCGCACAGATCAAGAGTCGCGGAGATGGCAACTAGGTATCCAGCTTCCGCTTTGGTGTATCCCGCTGCGTGCACGTAAGCCGGCAGATAGTAGAGCATGTACGGACTCCCCGTGGACATGAGGCTAACGGACAGACACATCATCATGAACTGTGGGTTCTTCAGCAACGTTACGTCCAGATAACGAGAGATCTTCTGACTGAACGTCTTCGGCTGAACCGTGGTCGTTTCGATTGGCAATGGCTGGGCTACGACTAGTGCCGACGATCTGAGCGATCTCAAGGAGGACCTCGCCTTGTACACGCAAGTAGAGTCAGTTGATAGGTCCTCCACGCTGTGCAGGATGCTGGAACTGCGGATTTTCGAAATTGGCTTCATCTTGAGGCCCTCGCCCATTATATCCTTTTCCTCCTCGCTGTCCGTCAACTCCACGGCGAGCACCGTGTTCTGGTGAAAGAGCTCGTTCAGCAGGTTCTGTCGGGTGGTGGCATCGTTCGCGAAGAGCATGTCCAGCTTCTGCTGCTTCGTCGGTTGAGGGTCCTTCAAGGTCTCCAACTTGTCGGGTAGTTCTTTCTCCGATATCGGCTCATTGGTCTCCACGTAATTGTCTTCTAGGGGGCGGTACAGCGTGGCGCACACGCATACGTGGAGCATGCATCCTCCGAGGAGTAGAATCGTCCCGTGGAAGCCAAAATTTGCAACCAAAGTCTCTATGAGCAGGGGAAACACGAAGCCACCTGCTGCCGTTCCCGAAACGCAGATCCCGTTCGCCAGAGCTCGGTGCTTGTCGAAATACTGGGAGACTATTATAATGCCCGGTGTTGTCGAAAGACCGCCACCTATGCCTGGAACAAGAGAGATCGCTAGGTTCATGATTATGCTTTGATTAATTTCTGTATCTTGACTCCCGGCTGTATCGTAAGGACATTAATTCGTTCACTTTTAATGGAATAGAGCACAAAGTGGATTTTGCTCCTGACTTATCACCGAGCAAAATAAAGTAGTTTTAATTTAATTTAATTAGTACTAATATTAAAATTCGATGGTGGATAAACACGTTTCTTTTTTATGCCACATTTATATGAATCCCGATATCTACCTTGTCGTATATTGTGTAATCCTACGGTTAAAGGTACACTTGAAGAGATTCTTTCACGTGAATGGTTTATCCACCAGCTTTGACACTTTTACCCGAATTCTACCAACTTTTTGCTTAAACACGTTAGAGTATTTAGACGTGACGAAGTGCCTTACAAGGGATTCGACATTATATAACCGCTTCCAGGTATGCCCTGCTTTTGGAACGTCGTCATTCATCGATAGTTCTAGATTATTACATCTTATAGATGCTTTACTTATAGCTAATATTAAGGAGGTCAATTTTGTACGGAATAATGAGAGAGTATTGAATACATAATTACTCAACGTGGGAATACGTTGCAAGGATGAAATTTAACGCAGAATATAATAAATCATACTTACCGGTTAATACTCCAAATGTGAAGAACAAATGTATCAAATTGGTGGCGAAGTAACTGAGGGTGAGTCCCAAAGCACAAAAAAGTCCCCCGATGAAGACGACTTTTCGGCAGCTATATTTTTGACACAGCATGCTTGTCACAGGTGCTGCAAACGGAAAACAGATAGTTCTTAGACAGTGTAAATATATTTTGCAGTTCGAGTACCAATACAATTAACTAATGTTTTCCGGAGAACATTTTTTCATTAGTAAGATTTTCCCATAAATTTCACCCTCAAGTGTTTCTTGCCTCTACGTTGACAAATTTATTGGGATATAGTTTGGAAACGGTTTTAAAAATTCGTTTCTTTCTTTTTGTATCGCCATTCTCGTTTTACAGTCGAATGCGAGAGATGCGCAATATTGCCGAGGGTCGGGGCTCGTTTGTGTTGAAATCCAGAAATAACGAAACTCTCGGGTCCTCGCTTGAAGAATGGTAATTAATTTCGCCAGAAGTACGTCCCACACAGGGTACTTGACATTGGCCAACCATCTTTCAAGTGTAACAAGCTCCACGCCGTTGCGCTTATTGGGCCTCATTGAAGCATATTTCCCCCCATTCCGTTCAACTTTTTTTGTTTCCAGAATCTGCGATAAATAGCACGTAGAGTGCATTACACACCTACATTGCAAAGATACCCTTCTATTAACGTGGTCGCAATCAAATAGTTATAGACACGACTGCGACTTTGATTGACAATACCTCGTTATGCACTTTCGATGTCAACGAATCTACTAAATAATCGCATTCTAATCCAAGTGTCGAATTTCCCACGTTAGAAAATGTATTCTTCGTCAAGGTAACGGCCAAAGTTAATTGATAGCATGACAATCACAATTTCAATGACACGTTCTTTGTGGTCTGCAACCATTACGGTTGCGCAAGGTGCGCCATTTGTATTCAGTAAATCCCATTATTAAATGTTGTAAATTGGAGTAAAATCGATGATTCCCAAGAAGTAATTTATTACGACCGCCCCAGTACACGACAAGGCAATACACTCGTATCTGGCACAAGCTTTCGACCACCCGGTTCTTCTTGGGAAGTCAGTCCATTTTCTATGTAAAACTAATGAAGCTGGTACGCCTGTAGAGCGCAATGCGGTTTCCTTCGGCGCGGGAGGAGCGCATCGACGCCTCTCCCGGTGGGTACTAACCTAGCGCAAGACAGAGGCACGAGAGAATCGCCGGGATCCATGAGGCTACCGTGGCAGAGGAGTTCGGGAAGGTTTCCATGACCTCGACATAGAGAACTCCGTAGGACTTGACCAGTCCGGCGACCCAGAACTGGACGAAGAAGGCGCCGAGGACGACGATCCATCCGTAACCACCGTCGAGGGAGACGAAATTGGGGTTCTTGAGTTTGGGGGTAGGTTTGTTCCTCTTTTTGCGGGAGCCGGCATGCCTGGACGACCTGAGCTCCCTGGACTTGGCGATGAGTGGTCTCGCGGTCAGGCTGGAGATGGTCAGGAGGTTGTCGTTATCCTCGTCCTCGATGGTGTCCGGAGGACTGGCGGCCGAGGATCTGGGTGGCACCATCGGCGTCGAATTCGCCGTGGCTTGGACCACCAGGGAGGCCGGCCTCTTCGGGGATGCCGCCCCAGTGCTCAGGTCGAAGACCGGCGCCGAATGGATGGAGAAGAGCGAGCCCAGCTGGTTCTGCTGGTTCATATTCTCGTCGATGACGGCGGCGCCGACCATCTCCTGGGACGAGGCCGTGGCTGGGCCCCGCTCGACCGAGCGGCAGGACCCCTGGAAGCTCCACTCGCGCGGCAGCGACATTTTTCGATCCCGGCGGCGCGAGAACCGAGATACATTGGACCGCCTTTTTCGTCGATTCGCGCTTCCCTAGTTCCTTCCTTGGGCTCTGCACCGGGTCGCCTGTTCTTTCCCTTTTCCAGCTCTTCCTCGGGGAACCGTGCCTGGAGCTCCTTCGGGGCTCACCTCGCTCCTCCTGGCTCGAGACTTCTGGCCGAACCTCTACGCTCCGGACATCCCTCGCCGTTCTGACGCCAATCGCTCCTCCTACGAGACCGAACCTACGGAACGGTGCGCACGCGTAACAAGCCCCGGACAGCGGAAATTTTCGGGATCGATACGACGGACCCATCGTCGGGAACGCAAGGATAGACGTGGTATCGCCAGGCCGAGTCCTCTTGAGGATGAGAATTACCTACGGTATCAGCTTTTTCTCCAAATTCTACCCACGCGATCGCGGAATGGAACCTCACCCACCACTTCCTAATCCGTTGCTAATTTTCTTGCTGCCGGAAAGGTTATTTTTATGTGGTTAGGACCATGTTTAATGTTTTGGAAAAACATTAAAGTTTGGTAAATGATTGGAGAACAATATGTGTAGGACCCGGGGTGGGTTTTCAATTGCAAACGATCAGATTATGTTGTACTTGGTAAACTGAAGTGGACAAATCAATGATAAATGGTACATGTAGTTTATGGCCATTCACAATTTATTAATCATTTTTCTGAAGGATTGATGGAATCCTCCACCTAACGGAGGCAAGTTTGTCTTACGTTTATTGAACTTTGCTGCACTTTCGCTGTTACGCTTACTATTTTTAACTAATTTGTCGTTGTGCATTGCTAAGTATGCCGTAAGCACGTCTAATCGACTTCGTTCTTTTTTAATCTCGTCCATGATCGATGAAATTTGATTTAACCACTTTTGCTGTTCTTTGCGGAATATTGTTATCCTTGAATTCATGTTTGCACGATACCGCTGACCAAAAGATTCATCAACCCTTTGATAAACGCTTTTAATTAGTTTCAGTTTTGCCAAAGAATTCCTCTTTTCGGAATATTTAATTTTCAGAACAACCTGGATGGCTTCAACGAGTTTCTCGCAATTTGCAATTGCACCCGTTACGTAATTTTGTTTTTCCTTTACCTTCTGTAGTTCCAGCAAAATATCATTTAATTTTTCATTTCGATCGGATAGATCATTTTCGACTTTTTTTAATTCCTGTTTATAACAATAGTTCTCCACTTCTAAACGTTCATAATCTTCAAGTCCTAAATTCGGTTTTACAATGTTCATTGCCTTTATTGTCGCTTCTTTTGCTAGCAGATCATCGCGTAAAAGAGACTGAAATAAGGAATTATTTGTTATGATCACTCTATAACATTGCTTTGCATTTCAATAAATTCATTTATGTAGATTGTCGCATTTGAATGTTATTTAGTCAATTCAAGCAAGTATACGGTCGATAATAATCGTCAAAAATTGTATATCGATTTCGTTTTAGATTTGTAAATAAAAGATGTATTCGATTTGTCATCTATGGTATTGCTCTTTATCTTATATATTTTTCTTTCGATTGTCCACTGTGTTGCACATAAATCACGCCGACTTGAGTTACCGGGTACTTACGTAAGAGATTCGACATTTAGAAATTTCTTGGATTTTATTTAGTTGGCGGGAAAGCAAATCATCGATTTTCTCATCAGAAAGTGGTTTTCCGTTCACGATACTAGATGCTCCCGTCCCACGTTCCATGGCTACTAAATCATTAATCGCTGCAGTTACTTTTTTCTTCTTCGACATGAGCAATGCCTCGAATGAAGCCACTTCCGCTTCGTGGCTTTCTCAAGAAGCTTGTATTTCTTGCTTCAATATATCAAAGTCATCGAGCGTGTGGAGATGAATCTTTTGTATTTCCGAATCTTCCGGTTCGTTCCCAAAAACATACGTCATCTGAAATCCAATGCGCGTGCTACGATAATTTAAATCGAAAATGTTTAGACAAGACTTAAAGACACGATGACTTACTTGCTTTTTTCTAAAATATTCTACCAAATACTCGTGAAGGTAATTATTCTTCCACTTGAACAAATTCTCAGAATTTCGAGCTATAGTTAATTGTTCTAATATATTTTCTCTGTCAAGATCACATTTCGAATTTGATAAAAAAGGATACCCATCGGCGTCGGCTTCGCTGATAGACAATGTCGCTGATCCCGACTTTGAAAAAACCGATTGGTTAACTTTCAGTCCATTATTGCTATATAAAAATGGAGATGAAATGTCCAATCGACGCAAGACCTCTGCAAAATGTTTATCTCATTATCTGGAGTTAGTAGTTCCAATGTGCCTTGTGGTAATATTTATTTTAAATAAGCACTACGTAAAAGCTACGTTCGTATATTAATTACAAGAGCTGGCCATTTTAGATATCGAATTATAGATTACCTTGTAGTTGCGGACTTAAAGTCGGGGATGGGTTAATGACCTTGGCAGACATGACCAAGAGTTACTATTTGCACTAGTTTCGTATTACAAGACCAAAAAACTACTTTTCATTCGAACGAAGTACTACATGTATTTCCGTCTTTTGTATTTTTTGTTTAATGTATCTTTTGTAATATAGTGAAATTATATGAGTGCCTTAAAGGATAAGAATGATATTACTGTATAAAGATATGCTTGAAAGCGACTCTGCCTTAGCTTTCTGGCTTCTATAGTTTTTGTTTGTTCAATAGCATTGATTTGGTAGAATAACACTTGGAGACCTCCACCATAAAAGTAGCAGAAAGAAGTATTCAAATATCTTTCCTTGCAACGTGCTTAGATTATATGTTAGTTAGCGAAAAAGTATCTTTTTCCTTTTTCGTAGTTGTTAAAAAGAGTAATTGTTGAAGTACTCTGCAGCGAAATGAGATTTATTTCCTACAAAAGCATTGTATTGGCCATTGGTTGGTATTATAGAGTGCAATACTGTTTCGGTGAGTCAATAACGTTCTGTCGGTAAATTCAATATCTTAGAACGAGATAGGTGGATACTCACTCGTTGTTATGTTAGAAAATTATTTAAAAAAATAGAACGTAGTATATGTTATAACATTCACGTAAAAAACATATGTCATAACGTAAGTTTTATAACGTGTTATATTTATTTAACCCTGCTTCTCTGTATATTTTTGTAATTTAGCTAATTTCATATTACATACTACAATCACCTAATTTTTACACACGATATTTTGCTTCGTTTCTTCTTTCATTCATTTAAAATGAGAAAGAAAGTCCTCGAATCATTAGGTAACACAGTTTCTATACATACACCTAGCTCGCTACAGTTCCTGTATGTATGTACATACACACACTGCCACTCATCGATGGTACCTCACGGACCTACTGCCCTCTCCGGCCGCGCGGCGTACTAGCGACGGGAGCAACGCGGAATTTGAATTGCCCAAGGGGCAGAATGGATTTCCTAAAGAAAATAAATGTTTATAAAGAAAAACAATTATTGAAAACGCCGTTATGAATTAAAAAAACGTTAAGTGGGGCAGGAACACTTCACAATAATATGTAAATAATTTTCATTAATTGTTTTTGTTTATAAACATTTTTTTTCTTTAGGAAATCCATTCTGCCCCTTGGGCAATTCAAATTCCGTGTTGCTCCCGCTGCTAGTACGCCGCTCCGCCGAAGAGGGCAGTAGGTCCGCGAGGAAACAAAGGAAACCATGGATGAATGCGAGTGAACACATTTGGACTTCCACTGTTAGCGATCTAGGTTTATGTATAGAAATCTGTGTTAGGTAATGGCTGCATGCAACAGCTTCTCTGGAGAGTCGCTAGGTGGCCGCGGCTACAAATGGCTGCGAAAAGTGGGGTATCGGCACTTTTTGTTACTCTATTGTTTCTAACCCGAACAAACCTTACGAGTTGAGGCCGGACTCTAGGACACATCTGGATACATCGATGTCAGATTGTGTCAGATAGAACGCGGCGCGTCAACGAGTCGAGTATGAAAAATTAATTAGAATTGCGCTCAACTATAAGCGTTACTTCCGTCGCAGTTCTGATTATGCTCTGATTGGTATTTCGTCTTCAACGCGTTGACGTGCTGCGCTTTATATGATGCCTGACGTGATAATAAAATGGGATTCCGGTTTTAACAGCGATTACAAAATGGCCGCCTCCTCGAAAGCGACACGGCATGTTTGACAGATGAATTTCTTTTAATGAGAGATATTTTTTTGAATTCGACGTCATTGCGATCTACGTAAATATACGGAATGGTATGTTAATAAACTTAGTTACATAAAAATGATATATTTTAAGTGTGAATACGACTGACGTGGAATGTATTCATAACCTATAAATTATTAATTTGAACGATTGATTAATTTGATAGTCTTTATTCTTGCACGAATTTTACTGTTTCGTTTCTGTAATGTTGAAATGGAAGAGTTTCTACTTATTCATTAGTGAATGATTGAATTTCATTCCTCTTGATCATATAATTGTTGCAATATATCTGTCTGGAAGTGCAGTTCAAGGAATGCATTGAAATAATTGTTGAAAATCCACTTTTATAATAAGATTTTATGATAAGATACAATGGCTGTCATCTAATAGATTGTCAGTATTGGGTTTTGACAAGATGAGTTTATTAAAGAATTCATTGTTCTGACAAGAGAGATGTAAATATGTCTGAAAAGTTCTCTGATTATGGTTATACCGTTATATAATTATGTTTATATACATTATTTTCAAAAATGCTTTTTAACAAATTTATTTGTGGGCAGTCGGCTCTTTTTAATTTCCAGAGTTTACTGACAGTCATTCTGTTGTTAATATGTACCTGTGCCTACATAAGGTCCATCGTTCCAAGTTTACTAGATCGGCATAAAGTTGGGTATGTATTTACATTATCAGTTAACGGTAATATATTAATTAAATGAAATAGATTGTCAATCGTCATATTACCTTACATTTAAGAATTTCAATATCTTCATCACTAGTATAGTTTATAATAATTCTGTTATTTATACTTTGTATTTGTGTGTTCAGGTTTTTAGGTACCTTTTGGAAGTGTGCAAGGATTGGTGAACGAAAAAGTCCATATGTAGCTCTTAGCTGCTTATTCATGGCTTTCAGCATTTTATTTTGGTCGTAAGATACACAGAGTACCGATCGATTGAATTCCCCTCAACCTTGAAACTCAGTCTCTAGTGATAATTTTTGCTACCGAGAAATGTAACAATGTAATAAATGTGATGTGAATAAGAATATACTTTCATTTTAGATCATTGGTTGCATGACTCCCTTTAATAACAACAATGAATAATAAGATTGAACAAAAGCATGGGAATTAAAATATAACGATTCAAGTCTGCTTATATATTCTTCCTTATTTTAGCATGGTTAGCATTTTTATGAAACTAAATTGCATTCTTATCACGTCTGGAATATTTGCATAAAATTAGTGATGAATATTGAATAAATTGAACAATTTCCTTTATAGTGTTTTAGTAATATAGAAGATATGAAATAATTCCATTTTCCCCATACTCTAATATAGCTAAAGCACAACAGAAACGATGGCGTGCAGGGGTAGTTTCCAAGGGGTTGCAAGCATCAGACGATAGGTGGTGCCACGGTGGTGCACCCCCAAGTATCCCCGTATTCTAATTCCCGTTACTACGTTCAGTACTAAACTCGGAAATGTCAAAGAGCTAGCTGTGTTAACATACTCGTGCGTTATGCGGTTACAGTAAAAAATTTACGTTCAGTTATAAGAAATTATTTACAGATTTAGAAATGATTTTACGGAGAACTGTATCGGCAAAGTTGAATAAATCTTTGTACATTCCGTACGGAGGCATAGCTGATGTATGACAGGTGTCACGATGACTCATTAGGGAGTGCGTGCTTTGCTTAACGTTACTCTGGTAAGAAATCACTAATATCCGCGTAGAACTTAGGAATATTGATCTACATTGAGCTAAAGAGGTTTGAGAATTTTACCTCAAATGTATGATGTGCGAAAGTTCTTCGGATGCCAGAAATACAGACGCGGAAGTGTAAGAGATTTTTGTGATTTTTAAGTCGATGCTCCGATTATATGGGCGCTTCAATTTTCTATTTTTATTTAGAGTGGAAAATCCTGGGCTGCTTCAGACTATTAATGGACCTTTGACTGATGAAAAATCATTGAAAGAAATTTATGAGGTATGTCTTCTTGTGCACAGCAAGGTACAATTTACGATTTTATATCACTTCTTTGTAGTAAATCGTTGATTATTGTTACTTAATCTGTATTGTCCTTTTAGACCCTAGTAAGTCATAAATTTGAAGATACCGCTAAAAGTCTTATGCGCGAGGCGACAAAATTGGGTTTCCATCGATTTAATGAAGATTCACGCTACAAAAATGATTCTGTCAAGTTCACTAGGGAACAAATTATGTCATACATTCAACCGGAGAAGTGGAGAGAATTTGTTGAGGTATGGAATTCTATACAGGTGATCTTCAAATTACATGCCACTTGAATTGCATGGTCTCAAATAATATGGTAAAAACCATGGCAACTTTTGAAAAATACGGTACTTATACTAAACGGAATCTCTCAAAGTATATACCCTGGAGTTTTCAGAATTTTAGCAAATTTTTATAAAAAAACAAAAGTATGTGGTTCTGTTACTCTGATGCATCATTGTTCAAATTACTGTTTCCTTATTTGTCAGGTGTAATAATGAGTGTATACGAGAATAATTAGAAAGTATTTTACTTTCGAGGATCACAGAGAAAATAAATAGTTTATCACACGAAGCACATAGAAAACTAAAAGCGTAAATACCGCGGAAAATATAAACGAGGTTTGCAATTACTGTCTTTTTTTTTTAAATTTGATTCAGGTACCTGGTACAAGTGTGGAGGAATCAACCCCGCATACTTTTAATAAAAATTGTATAAGTGAGCTCATATTAGGTTTTCAGGAGTTTGTTAAAAATCAAAACAATAACGGTGATCAGGTGAGGCGGAGTTTTAAATGACGTGGAAATGATGTGGAAATAGGTTTATAATCATTTTCTTATTCAATTTCGTGTGATTATAACGTTGCTCCAGGTACATAGCAATGAACGGAATGATACGCCAAAGAAGGAAGAAGAATCTGAAGAAAATTTGGTAAACGTAGAAAAAAATATATCAGCAGGCGACAATATAGGGCTGGCCAAACAGAGCGAGTTGGAAACATCACAATCGGTACCATCTAGTTCTGTAATCTCAAAAAACACGGAATTAAATAGAAAATGTTCACATGAACGTGCAATAAATGATGTGGAAACAAGTGTTGCTTCCACGGAGAAAACGCAATTGCTTGTAACAGATGATGACTTCATTGAATTACTCAAATTTCACGATAACAATGTATTAAGAGCTATACCCTCAAAGTAAGCATAACACTAGTTTTTCGTAATTCTGCACAACGCTTGAAAATATTTTCACCAAAATTTCGATTTCTACGAAAGTATGAAAATATATATATATCTTATTTGTAGACCAAAGAAGAGAAGTAGAAAAAAAAATTATAATTTTCAATGAATCTCGTATCGTGCTTCCACTACAAATTGAAAACCTTCGCTTTCAGGAGTGTGCAAACACGTATCAGTGCAGTGAAATCAGCAAAAGACTTTCTTCTTGCCTGTGACTTGAATCGTCCAGCAAATATCATTCGTTCGGGAACATTAATTAAACATCCACTAGTGTCCAATCCATATGCTCAAGAATTAACTTTAATGAGATCTCACTTGTACAATACCCGGCGTAATTACCAAAAATTGAAACTGAGATTTCACAAGATACACGCAGATTACCACAAATTGCGTAGAATCGCCGGAGAATTGGCCACTGTGCTTGAAAGTTCAGTACGTGGAGAATCAGTTGACATGCAAGCTATGTTGAATACATGCTTTGAGATATTCACAGATTTATTCAACCAGAATGTTAGAGATGAAGCGGATGTAAGTTTAGAAATTAGTATGAAGTGGAGTAAACATAGTAATTAACAAATGGAATTTTTTTTATACATTCTACAATATATATTATATATGAAACGTGCATATTAATCTATAATTGGGTAGATCTGCTGCGTATGTAGATCAACCCTTTGCGGTCATATTCCACTTATACTTCGACATTTTGCGGCGGTTAGAATCAGACGTATGACTTCAATGGATTAAATGTTTAATATACAGGTCACCTATTTTATTACGAATATAATTCGGTTAATAGCAAAATATTCCACGTATTAGCTACGCACATTTCCTGAATCGTTAGGTACAAAATGTTCATTCTATTTCTCTGTTTCTCATCGACATTCAGGTCAAAGTAGTTAAAGATAGAGGCCATTACACTCATCAAAGCATTGATGCATCGTCCGCACCAAGATCTCTTCTCTATATCGCCCCATTGTCACCTAAACTTTTGGATTTCAAGAAAATTAAGCTGCATTTAATTACAGAAAATACGAAAACTAGAGTCCTATTGCTACAAGCATTACGTCAGGTAAGAAGAAACGGCCCAAAAACAGATATCATTAGTATTAGTCTGATCAATACTGACAAACAATTATAATTCATACTAATGGGTATCTTATCATGTAACAGAAGATTACATTAAGTCAACCTGCTGAAAGAGACGAAGCTGTTTATCAATACACATGTAGCGATATATTGGGGCTCCACGGACACATCGTTAGTGATAGCTGCAAATCAATTTTGCCATGTCTATTAATTACAAAAGATATCATTTTGCCATGTCTTGTACAACAATCAACCGCAAGATTACTGAATGCTCTTGCTTCACTAAGGTGTGGTCGTGATTATTTAGCTGCTGGACCTGCTGTACTTAATTCGGTAAAACATTGACATTGTTGATAATAGATATATACTTTAACAGATAGCTTATAATTTGCAAGTATAAAAAATATGTGAAAGGTATTGTCATATATTTAATGAAGTAATTATTCTAACGATTGTAGGTTATCAGATGTTTGGATAAGAGTGATGATGAGGCTTCGGATCCAGTTGTATGCGACATGCTACTTGCAATGTTACAGAAATTATCCTTAAGGAAACAGCAAAGATTGTACATGATAGAAGTTGGTCTGGTAGAATGGCTGATATATCATTTAAATACCGAAGGGCATAAAATTGGGTCATATAGGTTTGAATATTCCTCAGCTCTTTTAATGAATCTGTCGTTGCATAAGCAAGCGAGGATAAAAGCTGCAGCAATAGCAATGCTGGTCATTTCGACATTAACCATGCTTTTGTCAACGAAACATTTAAGTGTAAGTACTCATTTCTCCAAGAAAGATTTAAATACTCATATTTTAGTATTACAAATTTAAATCGCGAACATTTGAAACACTTTTAGAAGGTACATGACCTCATGTTAAATTTCTAACGCTGTTTATGTGGTTATATACCTCTATTAAATTTACCAAGCTTAATATGTTTTTAATAAATAGGTTTATTGACACTAAAATTGTATGATTAAGATGCCCGTGGACATTTTATGCGATACTTTCTAATCGAAGCGGCTTAGTACATAAATTTTACTCTTTTTGAATGTAGGCCTTGTCATACATAAATGGCGCCTTGAGTAATTTTTTATTAAATGATGAAATAAATGAGGAAGCGAAGAGAATTGGTATTACTTCCGTCCTGGAGTATCACCGTAAACATACTTCTGATGAAATAAGGTAAAATGGTATATATTTCAACTGGAGAAAATTTCTATGAAAGGAATTCACCTCATGTCACGCAAGTTCAAGGGAAAGTCTGCCTAGTATACAATAAATCACCTTCACAATTACGTGAAATTACACCTTTTTAACTTAAACACGTTCCGAGAACTTCTATATATAAGACTAACAATTACCTGCTGATTGTTGGTTGTCTATATAACTTTACGAAATTATTGATAGGAAAAGTAGTATTGCAGAATATAGGAAGTACATGAAGGTTCATTAGTTGTATGTCTTTTGCAGAAATCATCTGAACCACATCTTAGCTATACACAGACGTGATTCTGGAAATAATACAAGAAATGATGACAGTGTGGACGATGACGATAATGTACGTATGTTTTTGCAATTTAAGCGAGTTTAAAAAATAAACATTCTAATAAGACAGTTTCGTCGTTCCTTTGGAACATTTTATCAAATATTTTAAATACTTCGAATAATCTATTAATAATTGTTTAGGAAGAAATGGATGTATTGGAAGATGAATTGGAGGAAGGTGATCCAGTGAGAGTACAAACAGGAGAATTATGTGGTGAAGCATTACTTTCTACGTGTTATTCCATCATCTCTAGTTCTGTAGAACAACCAATCATTGCATCAAATACACACACACCGAAAACCCCGAAATTGTGTTCACGATCTCTCGGTATAAAAAGTCCAATGCAAGTACAAGATGATTTGAAGAATGTTCATCATATTAATCAATTACCATCGTACAATACGGGATTAACTCCAAGGTATTAAAAATGTGTTACTACGATTTTATCTTATTAATTATTTTTTAATATTTTTAAAACATTGATATTGGTTTCTATACCTGCTTGCATTTGCATTCGCGTGATGTAATAGATTATATTATTTTAAAAGATTAACAGTTTTAAGTAACAAGTATCGACTACACCTTGTTCAAACTGCTCCCGAAAAAGATGTAAGCAACTCAAGTTCATTGTCGAACGTTACTCAAGTGAGCTCTGCTATTCGGAAGGTACATTTAAGTTGCAATTCTATTATTCGTAAAAACATCCTTATACATTACATTTTTTAAGACATTCTTAATCAAAGTAACTTAATCGCTATTCAATTTTAAGGTGAATCAGAATTTTGAACCACTAGTGGACTTCAAATTCCGTCAAAGTGAACGTGATAATAACATGTCCAAATTGAATGCTTCGAGCGAATCGCTCAAAGACAATAAAAAAACTATGTCGGAAGTAGAGAAAAGTGTTAAAAATCATGTAAATGTTTCCACATCGTCTGCACATATTTTCGTGGTAGAATCATTCAAAAACAATTCAAAAGGCGGTTCAAGTAAAGCACAGGCTGAATGGAGAAATCTGTATGAGTCTCAAACAAAGCATAGAACAATAAAATCAAAACATAATGAATGCATATACATAAATGGTAATAATACCGCATTGTCATTATCGGGAAAGAAACAAGCATCTCCCAGAGAAACGACAAGTTCCTCTTCGGAAAAGAAACATCCGACGAGTTTCACCGCTAGTCAGGATTCTAAGTGCGTTATTGTTATATTAAATTTTATTTCAGAATGAATAAGTATAAACATTTAAATATCATGCTTCGTTTGAAGTGACTTTGGGTGTAAGAAATCGTTTATCAATAGTAGTACCAGGTCTTTTTAAGGATGATTCACATAAACGGTGGTTTAGTTTTTACGACTTGTACTACATCCCCTTTCACTCTGTATTCGTCGCAAGAGAAGGTTGAAAGTGTAGTTGAATTTTCTTTTTTAGGGAGAGTAGTAAGGTTGCCATGAACTCGTCTACGACCCTGGCATCTGCTCGTGAAAGTGTAACGGAAGGTATGTATGAAATGAGACGATAAAAGTACCATAAAGAGCGATCAAGTTTATGAAAGAAGTACAAACTTGTACTATTTTGTGAAAGCAAACTTTCTCGATGAAATACACGTGGTCATGACCTTAAGAAAGTTGGAGCAAGTAGTACAGTATATAGGGAAAGTGTAGTGATAAAATATATTCATGCAAAGTATCGCTTTCAAGCAGGAGAATTTAAAAAAAGGTCAAGTACTGTCTATAACAGTTTTTTTTAACTTCTGTTCTAGTCACGGGCATATTGAGCAGTATCGCGTCACTGTGAGTCAAGACTTCAAGTTCATCAAATTTCTTAAGCTCGAAGATCGACGCGAACATTTTTATTTAGCTACCTCGCACTTTATATTGCTTTTGCGATTTTTCACCCTTTCTTTGGAGAAGTGTACGTCAAGAAATAAATAATCTTTCCGTAGTCGTTGGAGTTTGCTTCAGTAGTTTTGGCGAAACTTCAGCGCTAAGGTAATTGTACGCGTATTTTTGTATTTCATATGATGTCTTCCAGGGAACAAGAAAATCGGGTAGCTAGTTCATCGGGTCAATTAAAGGACTCTGGGGATATGGAAGAGGACGTGTTTAGGGCAAAACCAAAAATATTGCGAACCCCACCGCAAACCACACGATCAAGGAATTCTACGGGGACGAACAAGATTGAACCAGCACGTCTAACTTCCGCTAACAATTAACTCGAGTGCATGCAATTCAAATGCTTATTCTTACATTTACTGTCAGTGCCTTGTTCAAAATGGTGTTAGGAAGAATCTCCATGCATCTTTAGGATACGGTTCCCTCCGGTTAAATGACAACGCACAACTTCTATCCTTCCGCATGTTCGATTTTATTAGAAATAAAATACAAAGGTACAATAACAACGTAACCGTCAACAAAATAAATATTCTCCCTACACACACACACTTAACAATTAAAAACAAAGATTTTGCGCAGTCGTGTCGTGCTAACAACGAGATTACATGTATGCGGAGTAAGAGCTACCTTGACCAAACTTCCCGGTACCGCTGTAAACTTCTGGCGAGTATCTACTTACATAAGGACTACTGGCCGAGCTACTAATACCTTGAGAATAGCTGACACTGTGTCCTCCTTGGGGGCCGCCTTTGCTCTTGTAATTAGCTCTGCTAACATACGGTCCACTGGAGTAGTTTACTCCCCCGGAATAACTTGGTCCATTAGAATAAGTCTGTCCACTGGAATAACTCGGTCCACTGGAGTAACTCGGTCCACTGGAGTAACTCGGTCTACCTCCGTGGCCACCGCCACTAGTACTTTTTATGAAAATGACTTTTCCGTTTCCGATACCGCTACCTTCGGGATGCCCCGCTCCATGGCTTTTTATCATGTAACCAGAGCTCGGACCTGACGAGTAGGAAGAGGCATAGCCGGGTCCTCTGTGACTTCCACCTATCACCCAAATATCAGAGTTTTAATTGTTAACCTCTATATTCTACATATAATAATTAAAGAAATGAACCAAGGGTCAGGCAATTACAAATGTAGTCATTTCAGCATTAAACATGATTTCTTTTAAATTTACCCTATATTTAAGAATAAGAATGTTCCGTTCTAGATGTACCCACCTGCTCCACTTCCTGGTCCGCCCAAAAAGTAGGCTCCTTGAGATTTTGTCGGATATCCGGTCGAGTGTGGGATGTAATTGCTGGTGGAGTAAGTGCTGCCAGGGCCTTGACTTTGGCTCGACAAGTATGCCACACCGGAAGAGTACCTACCACTTCCGTGAGGAATTTCTCTACTCGCTACATGCTTATTTCCCTTGTAGCCGGTCACTACGTAATTAGCAGTTGGTCCCGATGAGTAAGACGGGGAGTAAGAAGGACCATGCTCGATTCCCGAGAATCCACCTTGACTGGACCCTATGTAGCTTCCTCCAGAGTATCCGGGATGTCCAGATTTCACCGGGCTGCTATCACCTGAATATCCACTGTACTTGTATTCTCCGTGACTGCTCGCTGGGTAGGAACTTCCGGTTCCACTGTCGTAGCTGTCGCTGGTACCGTGACTTCCCTGACCTCCATATCCACCACCATAACCACTACTGGAATATCCACTAGAGGAGTAGCCGTTTCCAAGACTTTCGATGCTCTCGTGACCTCCACTGTCAGCTACGTATTTTCCCTGGCCGTAAGTTGTCGCGCTTGGATATCCACCGAATTGGTCCTCTCCTACATCAGCGATGTTGACTTTCCCACCCAAGAAGTTCCCATTTGTGATGCTATCGAGGTACTCGTAAGCTGCTGTATCCCTAGATCCTCCTCCGACCGAGTAACCTGTTGAAATTATATCGTCATGCTAAGGTAATCCCTTGAGAATATATCGCGATGTTAAAAATAATTTTCTGATTATAGATACTCTTCATTTATTTAAAGGAATGGTCTGGGGTTCCCCTTGAGGGTAATTAAATAAGTTTACAGAGGCATGTCCTTAAAGAAGATATACCATATTTGGCTTAGTCAGGAGAGAGTATCTTTAGTCAACGATTAAAATATAAAACGCAATCGTTACTCCGTAATCAAATTGCAAATAAATAAATGAAATATGGAATATATTAATTGTTAAAACAATAATAACGGATATCGACGATAACCCGCTGAGATCATATTGTGATATCTCTGCGCCTCTCGTATGAAGAATTTGTAAAAATTAATTTGTAAAAATAGGACAAAAGTTTCAGGGAAGGTATGAAATTTAATTGTTATGCCGTTGATGAGTCTAAGTTTAGTTTAATTTTGAATACCATGTAGTAGCTATTAAAGTAACGAGTGATTTAAGATTATTAGATTTAATGTGTCTGTTTTAATATAATATCGTTATAATATGCTATCAACCCGAACACTGAAATGTTAATGATTTGTAGTACCGAAATCAAACGCGGCAGAATATAATTTATCATAATGACCGCTTGATCTTCAATTTACTTCTTCGACCAACTGAACCACGAGAATAATTTATGCAGGTATGTACGTATGCTACTTAGATTTCACGTGCCAGATATGATCATGTTCAAACGGATGCGGGAAACCCACATAACTCGATCTAGATCAAGTTTATTACTTTTCACGATATTTGATATCGGCGAGGAGAAAGTGCCGTATACATGGCACTGACATTGCACTTTTAACTGTAATTAGCCAAGACAGTTTCGAATTAATTAGCTAATCAGTAAATTGATTAGCTAGCAGCGCGTTTAGAATTTCAATATATCCTGTTCTCGTATTCTTGTAAAGAAGTGTAGACCGGATATTTAACGCGTCAACGCCCGCGGAAGAGACGGTTTACTTTTACCAATTAAGCATCTGACTATTTATTTACTTCTAACTAGACGAACCTAAAGCGAAAGAAACGCGCGACGCGGATAAAAATTGCACAATGTGTAAATCATCTTGCAAAAGAAAAAATATAGGTCATGTACTTACTGCTAATAGGTGGCTCCGCAAGGACCACGGCAACTAAACCGACAATCACCGTAATCTGAAAGAATACAGTAGGAATATTTTTACATGACAAAACAAAGAAAAAGAAAATACAGTTTAAAGAAATGTATCGTCTAAAATCAGATCCCTTCAAATCTCATTGCTAAGTGTCAGCCGTAATAGGAGCTCCGCTCTTCATAGAGAAAATGGGTAATTCCAAATTTATAATTTACGTTAAAATATTTTTTATTTGTCATCTTAACGACTTAAATAAAGTATATGATATACTTCTGCGAATTCAAAGTTTTGGCCTCGTTTTATTAAAAGAATTCACCACAAACCATTATAAGAAATGATGTAAAAGTAAATGCCAGAGGTTTGTACACGTGACATCTAATTCCTATGAAATAGAGCAATGGCCTAGTATTTTTCGGTATTAATTTTCATAAGTATGAAAGGTTCATCATCAATTTCTTTCAATTGATTTTTAAGTAGTAGATCTTTAGGTCCTATTCCACAATTTATCGCTTTGTACTCACGTGCAACATTGTTAGTCCAAATCCCCTAAGAGTTTGATCCCCCGCCGTGAGAAATATTCCCATAAGTTAACACCCCTCTTAGATAGAACGAGACGACACGACTGGCGCGGAAATTGAGTTTCTTACCATTTTATACCCCCGGGAATCCCTCCTTGTTGGCAAGGAGGTAAAAGCAATCCTGAGCGGACCATGGTAGGGCAGTGCGCGCAACTAAGCTGTTCAAAACGAAGAGAAAGAAGCACTGACTCGCCTCCTCACTTACAGGGAAAGCAATGAGCCAGGCAGGTGATCACTATCTAGTGAAGTACAACTAGAAAAAGTATGGCCTTTCCATTTGATGGCATTTCTTTATCGCCAATAACACTGTGTGCTCCTAGGATTCGGCAACGTTTACCGAATTGGGACTTGAACTTAACCGCACGTTAATTGAATGCCTGTTTCATTGCAAGTGCAATTGCACCTTGTGATCTCGCACTGAAATTACGTTCGCAGAAGATGTCACGAAGTGGTGCATCCCGCGACGCGTAATGTGGACCACTCACCTAGATTTATACGAAAATTACTAGTTTCTTCTCGGTACTTTAGGTTACTGATGCCGTACTTCTGTAGCACTAACAAGCGGGTTATGAGAAAATTGCCGTTTCACGTATAGACTACCATAAGTGTATTACAATACGTTATAGAGGAGAAATTATGGAAGTGCGCATGCAGTGCTTGGCAATTATGCATGTTGCTTGCAACTAGTTCATTGCCCTTGGTTATAGGTAATATCAATTTCGATTTGAAGTGTACTTTATTACGAAGCGAATTAATACGTTACATACTTCATGTATGATCAAGGTTATCAAGGTACACTGATAAAACTGCCCACGTAAATTTAAATACCTACTCGATCATTGGTTATATTAATTCCACAATAAATTGCAGTGCAATTACATTGTCTCTGGAATATCACAGCCAGCGTCTTAGTTTACGTTTTTTTTTTTTTCATGTGAAACTTCAGGTACGAGGTATGCATTAATTGTATGTAAATTTCTATTGATTTTTGCCAGTGTATCCAGGAAATTTTATTACATTTAGAAATCCTTTTCTCCCGGATGGGTATTCGCAATTTCCCAACTCCCAGAAACCTCGTTCGACTTTAAAATTTATACGATGGGTTGTTTAAGTTTCCGAAATTTTTATTGTTCTCCGCTTCAATGACGCGTACGTAATGCACCAACTATTCAATGAAGCGCGTCGCAGTATTGGCAAATTGTCAAGCGCATCGCATCGAGGGGCAGGTTATGATCTATTGAGTACTCATAAGCGAGATGAGATTCCGCACTTAATGATAAATAAATTATTCACGCCATAAAGAGAGAATAATGCGACCCCATAAACGGAGTGGTTTTCCTCGGCTGGCAGTGGGTAATATCCACCGCGTACTTTTCTTACCCGACAAAAGTGGAGCTCCTGTTTCTTCTTGCTGGCAACGTCGATGCCACGAAAGTGTACGCTAAAGCGAAAGGAATACTTTCATTTCTCGAAGGAACAACCTCGAAAAATACCGAGAAAACGAAGATGTACCTGGAGAGTTTCTACTTACGGGAAAAGGTCCTGAACGCAAATAAGCCACTCGGAATCCGCTTTGGTTTTCCCCGAGTTCTTCTCCGATAAAGATTTCTTACATGAAATTAAATAGTAAATTCCGGTAATATCTCATTTCCCAGTCTAGCTTCCTGTTAATTATTTTCCGTACGCATCTTTTCATTTTCCTGAATAGATCTGATGAAGCGCACGCGCATACTCGCGGCGAGCATGACTCCACTAATGGAACGAGATCGCGGCCTAACCGCGGAACAATCACTCATAAATCTTAAGGATTATATCCTCTTCCTCCTCTGAATAATGCATCGACGCATAATTGAACCGACTCTTCCGATAGCTGTCCGAAGAATTTCACGTCGATGCGGCGGTGCGTCTGTCCGTTGCACTTCTCGAGGTGAAATGCATCGACACGAGATGCATGCCATTGCCGTAAAAATCTCTGACCCCCTTCACCTTTCTAGATCGCTCCCATAGATTTTCAGATCTCAGATCGGGTGAAATGTCTTGATGCGGAGTGAATGCTAGTTTGCGTGGCACATCAATTCGACGAGTATCCTGAATACCAATTTGGCTTTGCGAACCGAAGAAAGTCTTTCCTCACGCGCCTAACGCAAATTTATGCAGCCGTACTGCTACTCTATTGTCCCAAACAAATTTTACGCCACGAGAAGGAACACTTTTTGTACGGACACTTGCGATTTGGCACACCGTATATTCGCCGAGAATACTAAAACAGAATTACTTTCTATGGGTCCCTTCAACATTTTCTGAAATATCTGCATATTAACATGGTTAAATGGGGTGTATCATCTTTTAGAATTCCGTAACAACTGTAACAGGTCATTCTTATGATACTAAAAGGTAGCTTAATCCGGTTATATTTTCTGCACGCTACACATTAAAGGACGTTTAATTGCAGTCCACTGTTGGGCAACGTATGAGCAGGATGCGCAGTTTGCAAGGTAATTTTACGGACAATTAGCATTCACAGGTATTAGAATAAACTGCGGAGCTTTTTTAGCTTTAAGCGCACAAAGTACAGAATTTTTCTCTCTGTCTGGTTTCACGTGGAGTACGGGAACTCATTAGGACATGTGAATGATTTAATCTCATTAGGAACACTGACAGGTTTGATCCTCTTTGCCTTTTCAGTTTACGTCCGCGGATATTATGTGGAAAATCACATGTAGACCCACATTGGGGCTATTTAGCTTTACCTCGCTCGCGATGTGCTACTGCAAATTAATTACGTGATAATGTTCATGGCAGGTGAATTCAGCGTGGTTGTTGCGAGCTTTTTAATTAACGAGTGGCCCAAGAGCCGGGAGTTCGTAACTCGCCAGAGGGTTTACCTGTAATTAGTTGTACGTAATTAAAAGTCCCGTGGAACAGCGGGTCAACTTTATTTTTTTTTCAAATGTACTGGTAATAAAACAAAACTCTGTATTGAACAGGTGTAAGACGAGAAAAAAGAGTTTCAAATATTCAGTCCACCTCAGGAATTAGAATCTTACTATTTCGTAGTAGAGAAGTTAAACGGCATTTTAACGTGGTCCAAAAGGTAAAGTTAATACTTTTACGACATATCACGTTTAATAACATCGTTCAGATAATCTTCCCTCTAAATAACAAGTTCACATATGTGTGTGAATCAAATTGCATAAGATGACATTGCTGATTCCAGCTTGAATTCAATAAACTGACTTAAAGATTTTACACCATGTAGCATTATTTTCAACCTTGTACACGTGATATACAATTCAGATGACATTGGAACATTAAACATTGGTGAATGATGAACTCGCAATCTGCACCTATTTCCGTATCCAGAACCACGTACTCTGCAAACCACCCTAGCGCCAAGAACAAGAAAATCGGTTCTCCATAAGTTACAATCAGTTTTAATAAATGCAATAGAAAAACAATATACAGATACAGAATTCATATCGCTAGTCGACAAAAGGTCGCAAATGCGTGCGGCGTGTTGGCTGCACCACGAGAGAAACGTAGTCGAAAATTAACCGATACGCATAATGAGTGGCTTACTTTTACCTATCAGCTTAACGGTTAGTTCGTTTACCTAATTACAATGATTGAATCATTAATATCATTATACCAGTATAGACACGCAAGTGTGTATACGCAGTGGAGAGTCTTAAGTCCTACGTAATTTTCATTTTACTTTGGTTTTAAATTAAGGACTAGCGCGTGTGGAGCTTCACTCTGTCCCTGTGCATACGCGAATCGTTAAGCTTGCCGTCGATCGTCCACGTGCTCATCAAGCGAGTCCTCTGATCCGAATTTAAGACTTTCGCTTGCACCCTAATGTCAGCTGGTCTCCGTAACAGGTAAATCCCCGCGGAAGCACACGGTTAACAACGTATATGGCGAAGAACCCAACAAACCGCAATTACTAATTAACTAATAGAAATTAAAAGGTGCCTAAACAACGTTAAGACTTCATACATGAAAATATCCCGTAGAGCCGACGTCTTTGTCGAGCCCCTTCAGGCAATGTTTCATGAAATTCTCGCTCTTTGCAGGCGAGTTCAACGAGACCGATGAAGTAGCTGAATTACAAAATGGCGCTAATCGGTGCGGATCACAAAAGGAGTGTTCAAGGACGCATCACGTAATCAGAAATGGTCTATCTGTATATTGCCGTTAAAAACGATGTAAATACATTGCTGAGTATCGGGAATGGCTGAGAATACTCCCGCTTCTGATTAATACTGTACAGAGTGGAGGAACAAAGGAGAACGGTAATATAAAAATGAAAAAGGAACCTAAAGGTGGAGAACGTCTTTACAAGAGTCCGTGTCGTACGTCACCTCGTGTCCGTTTGCGTTCTGCAAAGACGACAGGCGAAGCACACGTAATTATGTACCATTTAGAATCGGAAATGGAATTTAGAGTTAGAATGTAAAAATACTATATATATGTACAATAATCGCTATAACGATGGATATTCAATTACAGTACACTGGTTTCGTCGGTGAGCCTTTTCAAGGTGTCCTCGTGATACTTTTTACTCGAAAACAGTGATTACGCATTGTTAACCCGAGTCCCCATTTATTTGAGTCGCAAGCGATGGTTCGAATTCAGGGATCGAGAAAATAGGCTGATGAAGTACGGTATGTCTTATGATTACTGTGGTTAAATCTGGCGAAAGGTGTCGAATCATTGGCACATAAATGGAAGCGAACATCGTGATCCCAAAAAGCACAAATTGGTGAATCCTTAGCTACATGTGTATACGTTTAGGTACATCAGGAATCCAAAAAGTAGATAATCGTTATTGGACGTCGTTCAGTCCTGTAATGTGTTTGTAAAGTATGTATAAAAAGATTTTTTTATAAAATCAGACCTTAGAGGTGACTGCAAACGGAAGTGAACGAATCAGTTTTATTTTTTCTCGAGATAACGTGCGAGTCGGACAGGATTTCAATGATCCAAGTCGTGCTTTATTTTCATTGTTCACCCTCTACAATTGAACACGGTTCTTTTTTTTTTTTTAATAATGATTGGACTGTTTTCAAGTAAACACGCAAAGTTCATCAGTCTGTGTGATTTGGGATGTAACTGGACAATTTCTGCTGAATTTTTCGTCTCGGGTAAAATTAAGTACTCCGTTAATTGTTTCGTAATACTCGTGGTATTTAAAATGCCACTCTTTCAGGAGTAAAAATACTTTTCAGAACGTTATCATCCGGCATTGCTGTTAGACAGTCCGGATTATAAGTGTTTCGCACTTAGGAGTGTTTTTGAATTTTACTTTACCACCGCTTAGTTTGAGAAGGAAAGAAAGAGTACGCGCCCAACCAAAGAAACGTCCGTGAAAGCAAAAATCTCACAAGAGCTCTCGACCATCTTTTTTTCCTTTTAATTCTTTCGTAGCGTGATATAATTCGTTATATATCAATTTTCATATCTATCTAGATGGTATTTACACTATGTACACGTAAAACGATTAATTTATCCCTCGTACTTTAATGATTGTATAATTAGGATTGACTATGCCTTAGAATAATTAACGGAATTATGAATTATGTAAAATATGAAATATCGTGCTGTTAGATGGTATGTTCATCTCCAAGGTACCATTTTGGACGAATACCGGTCCGTGTAACAAGTCTAGCACTTTGATGAGCAAATACTTTGGAGATTACATAATCTAAGAATCTTCAGGTAATATTAAGTTATAGATGATTTGTTAATTACAAATATAAAACATGTATATGTAAATAGAACTCTTAATTATGCGCGAACATGTCTCTAATTGAGCATACGTGAATTTTTTATCATCAGTCTAAGCCGGTCTTCACGGCTCCACATACAACAGCGGTTTAACAATACACGTTTTAAGCTTGTACACTACTGTAACGAATCATCGGTAATAATGAAATAACAATAGCGTATGCTATAAGTAAACTTTAGTCATAGAACTTTCAAACGATACTTAAGCATGGAACACACAAGAAGCCAATTACGTGTCTCTTTCCTCGAGCTTGTGACACCTCTCAACATTTTTCGGAGCGACCGAGGGAAACGCGTGCATTGCTCGAAAGAATTGACGGAAACGGTGCCCCCTTCCCTTCCACTCATCCTCGTAACATCGCGTCCCATCTACGTAATTTCTACCGGCATAATCACGGCTAAAAGGTATGATCTTCCAGAGTCGACATGTACCGAGAGACCGCAGCCGAAATTCGACCGGACCGCTTCAGGGTCCGGTCCAAACTTAAGAGTTCCATGGCGTCGAGCTTAAACGAGGTTCATCTAGGCGATTCAAAACTGTACAAGAGGAGACGAGTATGTGCCCCGCGGGTAATAATGTTCCCACGGGTCGCGTATGTACATGTTGAACCCACTCCCTTCGGTACCGTGTCGCGATCGATTTATGTACAGCCGATGCAAATGATTCGGGAGGACAACTCGCGGCCAACGGCTCGACGTGTGTTACATGCTTGTAAAGTATTCCTACATAGGCCAAACGTATGAAGCTTAACTCGTCGAAAAATATACTCGTCGACTACTCAGGCTTTCGACCAACGGAAACGCGTCGTCCGAACCGCGACGTAACACGAATAATTTCTCAGATATACATATACAGCCTTAGCGTCGAGTGTCGTAGACCATACCTCGTTATATACCCTAGACATAGTGAGACCCTCATATGATCCGTTTTCGTTACTTCCGGAGTGTAAGAGACTTGCCGAGGCGTACGCGCACTATTTACACAACTAATAAGGTCTAATGGAAATAAATGCAAAAATATGTATAAACATTTAGTCGAGACCGGTCGCCAGACGTCCCGGAGGAGCCTTTTACGCAAGGGCGCACCTTCTACGTCGGCCAAGCCGTTGAAAAGACGGGCAGTTGTCTTAAATGATAAACCTTAACTGTTACCGCTAAACTTACGTCCTATTGTCTTTTTAAGATATCACTACACCAAGACACTCACTTTTACGTCTATCCGATCGTATCTAGCGGAGTTCACCGATTATGTTAAGCGCCCGCTCCCATGTCTTCGCGGGTCCTTGTCGAGCGCGAGATCGTCCTTAAAAGTCGAGCCCTTGTCGAGGCTGAGCTTCGACAGGAAATGGTTCACTGATCGACGATTTCTCAAGTTTTGGACGCGAAGTTCGCTCTAAGATCGGCGTCGATCGAGCTCAGCGGTATCTTCTTCTTCGAAGGATCTATCAGACGGATCGTCGTCGATCGGCAGTGCGGAGGGTCGTAACGTGCGCGAGGAGGGAAGGAAAAAGAGCTAGAAAACAGTCGAGTAGAGATGGGATCGAGCCGTCGTGTGTCCTTTTAACGTATGATCCAAGCTGTTTGATCAATTGCGATCTGAGATGTGCACTTAACGGAGTTCCTCAACTAATCGCTTTCAAATTGACGTTCGATGGGCAATCCACTTTTCGACCGTTAACTAGTTTGTACGCCACTGTAATCTGATCTGATCGGAAACATTGTATCAACTTGTGCATGGTTATTTTGGCAACGAAGAACGGGAAAGCACGGTAACCCTTGCGAAAATACATTTGTTAATTGGAGGAAGTTTTGAGGTAACAACGCGATACTCGTGGACCAATTTCTGTAATTGTTGCAGTGGGGGTATCAAGCAGCTTGGATGCATAAAGTTAGCTGTTTCGTTCAACGTCTGTTCGCAATGACTGCTTGGATCCCGCCTCCAGTCGCGTCTCGGAGAACTCGAAGAGAAATGGACGAGAGGACCATGTGCGACCCTGCTAAACTATCTTTTATCGTAGTATTGACTCTCGGAGCGGCACTGTATACTATGATCACCGTACGTAAAACTGCTAAGGCATTCACCGCAACGGGCAAATCGCACTAGACTGCACATCAGCGCGACACCCACGTGCATTCCCTGCATCGAGGACAAAAGCAACCTGCATCGAGATGGAAGTCACTAGACATCATCCCGACATTACCTCGATTACCTAGCCCACGAAGGACGACCCGGTTAACATCATCACCTCGCTCATCTCCTTCATTTTCCATCCTGTAGGATACCGTTCTCGACCAAAAATCACGCACCGTCGCGAACCATACCCACGAGATAATTTGATTTTCCAGACGACCCATCGATTCCCAACCACGGTTCTACGATCCTCCAAGTTTGTCCCGCTTCGACGTCATCCTCTTCAAGGAACCTCCGCATCCCGAGATCTCGTAAAAAGTCCCCCATATAAAAAGTTTGTCTCGACGCATCTCCCTAAACCCAGCTAATTATCCTTCACGTGCTCCACCAGGAGGGAAAATAGAAAGGAGTTCCTCGAGGCGAAGATACCGTCATTCGAGCGTCTTCAGAGGCGAGTGGTGTACTCGGGCTGGCGAGGAGCTCGGCTCGGCTCGGGACGATGATCTTTAGGGCTGGTAGTGCTAGGTACCCAACAGATGATCGGCGATCCTCAGACGAGATGTCCGTCGATGTCGGAATACGTGGGGGTCGGACTGAAAGTCGAGAGGGGGTGGCCATGCGCGTGTCCTGGAGTAGGCACCGCACGTGCAAAGGTGGCCGGAGGTGGCGGGACCGTTGGCGGGACCGGCGATTTGGCTCCTGCAGTCATGACGGTCACATCCGGCGGGGGCACAGGCCGAGGCAGCGTCCTGTTCCTCGTCAGGGTCCCCGTGGATGGGGTCCCATGGGAACCATGGTGTCCCGGGTGGCCCGCGTGTCCCAGCGAAGGGTAGTAAGCCCCTGGGCCCGGGTCGCCCATCACCGGACCCGGGCTGGGGTTCCCTTCATATCCCGAGTAGCGCACGCTGTCCATCTCGACACTGTAGAAGCTTACGTCGGTTGGCGGTGCCGGACTTGGATTCCCTATGTAACTCGACTTCGAAGCTGGAATGATAGATCGATCAGTGTTCGATGGGGATGGCCAAAGTTAGGGATTTTGGGCAGGGACGTTGGCTCAGGGTTGGCACGGTGCCTATTTGGCTCGGTCTCGGTGATTCTCTGGAACGTACCCGGGAAATGGCAGGACGGAATGGATAGCGGTCCCTTAATTCAACGTTGTGTCCTTCTGCTGTAATCCGATTGTGAATGGCTAATGATCGTTAAGGCGATATGAAAGTGGCGTCTGAGGGGGCGCGATTATGAAACTTTCCTACGAACGGGATGTATCGAATCGTTTCAAGTTTTACCCCGTGAATATGGAAATCGTAATGGAAGGTCGTGACACTTATGAAATTTCATTTTCTCAAAATTTATACATAAATGAGATTTCTTGACTGCTGGGACCTTCTTTAGAGCTTCCATGTTCACGCGTTAAAATTTCAAATAATTCGGTACACCCAGTTCGGAGAAAAGTTTCATAAACGATTGACTCCTCAGATGGCACTTTCATATCATCTTAATGATCTTTACTCCTTGAAATTCATGGCCGACAACTGAAAGTATTGATTGATTGGTGAAGGTTGAAAGGAAGTAACCCTTTGAGACTTGAAAAATTACCTATCTTGTGTTTTTAAGATTGCAGCATTGTACAGTTACATATTCTCTCAAATGTCTCGTTACGTTTGTCCGACATTTAATGACATTGTGCCAACCCTGTCATTGAAATGGGATTTACAAACGTTCTCAGTAAACACAGCGACGAAATGTATCGAATTGGTACTGCATAAACGTTGATAAAGGGTGCGTTTGCTCCGTGGGAATGAAATCTTGTCCTTATTTTATGTAAGGACATTAAACTTATGCAAGTGACATTCAAAGGTATTAAATTGTACACTGTAACGTTCTGTGTTTACTGGGACCATGGTTGTGGGCAATGGGGCCACGAATCGAAATGTGTCGACGAATCGAGGGCCACACACTGACAATGGACTCATGCTTGGTGGAAAAACCTCGCAAACGTATAGCAGCTCGCGTGCCTCCTCTCTGCCGTGTCTTTGTCAAGTGTACACACATTTCTTTCCTTTTTCGCATCGAGTTTACGTAGCTCTCTCTCTCTCTAGGTCTAATTAAGCGACCGCTCGACTCGATCGCGCCGAGATGAGCTCGTTGTTCCACTTACATTCGGGTAAATAATCTAGTTCCCCTAGCAAAACCGTTTCAGCTGAAACCCATTTAGTGCGGAGCCGAGCAATAACATAAATTCCAAAGAGGAAGTGAATAATTCACTTTAAGAAAAATTAACCGAATATTTCCAATGTATATGGAACAGCCATTTCACTCGTCTACGCAGTGGAAATCAATTTCCACCTAAGAGGGTCCAAACAATTGTCCGCAATAAATAGCCGGCTCATTGGGAAGAAAAGTTAGGTCCACCAATCTTGAGTCAACTGAGAGTCTTCTTCTATTTTCAATAAAGTCTAATTACTTTCGAGACCAGGAAATTGGAGCTTAGCCCGACGTGTCATGGTATCTAGAAACGAAACGGCCGCAGCGGCTCCACTACAATTGCACGGAAAGAGAATATATGGTTTACATAGACCTCTGTTCTCAATGTGGTATTTCGAGTATCGAATCAACGGTAAAGCCGATAAAGGGGGATAAAACTGATTTAATCGTTCAACGGAACATCCGAACGTTCTACGTGGGATCCATGCAGACTGGTCCGACGATCTTGCACGACGTTATGAACAGACATGCTCTCTGAAGCCTAATGCATGGGTGGCCTTTCGGTGCATAATAGCATAATTAGCGTGTATTCGTGATCCTTGTGAATCTACAACCTCATCGAAGCGGTTAATCGTTGGTGCTGAGAGAAAGGGGAAGGCAACAAGCAGCGACGACAAGAGTGGACCTTGGAGTCCACGTGCACATAACACGGTTGCTCCAGTGGTCAGCAGTGGGCGGACAACTCGGCGAAATTAGGACACGTGTGTAATACTTATCACGGTACATAATAAAGGACATATATAAGACGTCCGGCCAGCAACACGAGAAGACACCAAGAGCAATAAATTTGAGAGGATTCGGCACCTATGGAGGTTCTCGAGACTAGTAGCACTTGTGGATGACGCACCCGAGAGAGTCCCACTGGCTGTTGTTCGTTGCGGTGGTGAGTCCATGCTCAAAGGACTGGGAACATGGTTGTTGCACCGACTGAGAGTCCCGTGGAGATGTACCTGCATCTCCAGGCTGTTCTTCCCAAAATCTATGCCCTGGTCTATTAAATAGGTGCTAGCTGCAGGGTTCCTTCCTTCGCTCTGCTCGCCGGCACCGGAAACAATGACCACATAGTTAGCGCACCCGGTACAAGGGTGTCCTAAGGCTCGATTTCTTCTCAACTCGCATGCACTTACACCTGAATCGTCTTACGATGTATGTACTATCTATTTTTTTTTTAAATCCAGCCTGCGTGCACGCCTACTTAGAGTCTAGTTCCACGATGCGTGTACGCGCGTAGACGCGGTTATGCGACTAGGCATGCAGATCGGTAAAGTAGTGCATTGTTTTCTTAAGGAGGTCCTTTGTAAGTGCTAAGTAATAAAGGTATTAGAGTGCTTAACTGGGTCAGAAGAATTTGATAAAGGAAATAAGAAGAGCTGGAAGCGACGTTTCAGGAGATCAAAGCACCGATTTACTTCAATGCGTAGGTGGACAAGAATTGAGACCCATCGAAAGTTTAGATTATTGGATTGACGCATTAATCTACATAAATTTGCCATCCAGCGGCACAATGTTGTTGATAAATCCGTTTAACGATCTCAGGATTCAAGCGTTGAAGATAATTTTGCAGGTGAGTATTTAACTTCCAGCCCACTGCAGTGGAGTAAAAAGCCGAACGGAGAGAAAGACAACCGGTACCGAAGCCCAAGACTCGAGGTGGAGTGTCGAAGAAAAACAGGGAAATTCGGACTGCTAGAGAGAAATGGGCGAGAGAAGGAGAAAGAAAAAGTGTTAACAGAACTCAAACCTACCCTCCTGAATTACTTGTTACTAAGAACATATTGACTGATCGCACTGACCACGTAATCGTTCGCTTCGAAGCTAACGTTGTTCTTCTCGTCGGAAACCGAGCTTAATTCACCAGTCATTGTATCCCCGGTGACGGTGGACGTTCCATACATGTCCGTGGTCTGCGACTTATTTATCCCTGCACAAACAGAAACAATAAACGGTAAATCAATGAGAGCTTCCAGAGCCGTGTACGCATGCCAACTGGGGAGCCAACCGAGAGTTGACATGCGTCAGCGTTCGACTTGTACTTCCAACTTACGGTCTTTGTTACGCTTTCGTATAATGTACCACAGCATGATGAAGAGATTAACAATAAAAAAGACGACCGAAGTTGCGGCAACGGTATAGATATAATTCATCGGAAAGTCCCCCTTCTCCAGAAGAACATCCGGCAGATTTTCCGCGTTATTTGGTCCTAGGGAATAAGCAGAACGATAATGCGGTGGAATATTTACCGGAACGTTGGGCCTTCTTTTTGGACGCTAATGTGGCATAGACTATGGACGTAGCAATGAGGAGGCAAGCACAGGCGAAAACAGCGATGATTATGACGATCATGTAGGAAGAGTTAATCTCACTGGCTGTCAACTCGGTGGGTGGAGCCTCGCCTGTAACCCAAGCCAATCCCCAACACCCAGAATGTTATTCATGCAATGAGATTACGGGATGTTAGTACCGACTACTACCGATCTATCCATCTATCGTCATGATTCTCTACCCTGCGACCCGGTTGACGACCCGACACCTTCTTGAACCCTGACAATAATGACAACGCGCCGACGGGAACGGTCATGCTGCTATTTATTCCGCTACGTATCCGAGCAAAGCACTACCGGTCAGCTATCAAATATACTCGACGACTTCTAGTTTAAGACAGTGAATGAACGTTCACCGGTACAACATGATCGGAAGTAGATTGGAAAATGGTTGAAAGCGATCAGACGAGTTTATGATCGGAAAGGTGCACGAATAAGTGACGTCGTGCTGTGTGCTTCTATGTGGTGACATATGCTAGTACAACATCAACAGATCACATTGACACTAAAGATCAGACTAGGCATCCGTGATTGACAAAGTGAATTAGAGGTTTGACGAATATTTATGTGATGACATTGGTAATACAGGTACACGGAGAGAAAGGTATATTTCTCGTAGAAATTCGATGGAATTCAAGAGTGGCTGTCTGCTAAGCAGTTAAAATCATTAGTTTAGTAAATATGTATCGTTAGGAGGAATTTTTTTGTAATGTAGATTAATTCCTTAAGATACGGTACTTTAATATCCTTCTCCCCGTGTAGTTATCCAAAAGTCCAGCGAGATTGATTTTGTAATTTGTTGTCTACGCTACTTAAGTGTTTAATGGATAATATCGTAACCAATCTCCCAAGGTGGACAGAAGCTATGTAAATTAGATGTCCTGTATCGATACTTACGCAGGGTTTGCACTTTCACTAAATCCGGAAGAAAGGAGCTTTCTCCTTTCGCATTTATGGCTTTGATACTGAAGACGTAGTATGTCCCCAGGAGCAGTCCTGTAACTACTGCTTTGAAATCTCCCGGTGAAACGTCCATGTAATGATATCGGTTTTCGTAATCCAGTGCTGGCCTCCATCGAATCTGGTGAGAGGTTGGTAATCCCCCATCGAATCCTCTCTTCCAAACGAGGGTGACGGAATCGTGCGTCACATTGTAAACCTCCAAATCGGTTGGTTTATCCGGCGGGGAAGTAACATCTAGTTGGACTTCATCTTCCGCATGTCCCATGGTGTTTTCCGCCTTGCAGACGTATTTCCCATAATCATTTGACGTCACTTTATTGATCGTCAACGTCGTCTCAGAAAACAGCTTCGTTATCTGTAACACGTACAAAGCCTAAAATTAATTCCACTTGATAATAATTCGCATAAAGTATGGTTAACATCGTCAGTAAATCCCTTCGAAAAGTGTCCTTCAAAATTTCAGAAACATCGTAAAGAAAGTATATCTAGGAATTTTTAGATTTTCCCGAACTGTATTTACCTCGTTTTGGACAATGTCGTATTTATGAGCACTCGTGTTCGGCGAAATAATTCTTCCTTCGAACAACCAAGTGAACCGTGGTAGCGGCGATCCCTGAGCTTTGCAATGTAATTGCACGTTTGCTCCTCGATTAGCAGCTGCCTTTTTCGTCAAAGCTACGTTCGCCATTTCCGGCTTGTCTGGATAAAAAAGTATGATATTAATACAGAAACTCGAGTAGAATTTGATGTTTTCAAGCTAGACGGCATTTTTCAGAGTAAAACATCGTCATAACGACAACGATACTCACAATGTGTTATAAATAATATAGGGCCTGAAGTGACGTTGCCGATCCCATTGTTGACGTTGCACTGATACTCTCCTATGTCTTCTCGACTGGGATATTTGATGTGAAGGTACGACGTCTTATTTGAAAAAGACGTCATGTACCTGCCAGAGAGCTCCGAATTTGAGCCAACTCTGTACCATGTTATGTATTCATCACCCATAGGACTGCCGTCCACTTCGCAAAATAATTTTGCATGAGAAGAAGGCAAAAAGACCGTACCAGACGTAGAAGCCCGAACAATACTGGCTGGATCTAAAATTAAATGACAAATTTTACCAGGCAATTCAAATTCCAGCCCTCCATCGAAAGCTCTGGTTGATCTGGACCGAAAACCAGGACTTCGGACCAACGGTTCGGATCAAACGTCTCAATGGTTCAGAGCATTTAGACAGAAATCGAGGAAAGAGGAAGCTCGGATTTCGTTTAGAAATTGCAAATTGCCTTACATTGCACGGTTAAATTAAGCTGATAAAACGTTGTGCCCTCTTTGTTGATGCCTTCACAAGTGTACGTTCCGGAATCGTGGCGTTCCAGCCTGGTGATGTTCAAAGTGGAATCACGTGCTGAAATTCTCTTTGCGGCGCTGCTCAATGGTAGTCCATCCTTTGTCCAGGAATAAGTTATCGGGGTTGGATTGGCAGTGGCTTGGACGGAAATGACAAAGGGCTCACCCTCCATTCCTATCAACTCGTTTGGATCCAGCGGAGTAAATATCGGCTTGTCTAAGAAAAAGAGGTGGTCCGTGAGATTTTCGATTTACTCAAACAAAATTGATCATTCAAAATTGACGAAGATCCATATTTTAGGCATATATATGTATATTCAGTATTTCTACGTTAATTTTTCAGTCATCTGCAGTTAGTCATGATACTAACATAGGATGTTCAGCGTCACACCATCCAGCACCGCTCTCTGCGTCCTGGGATTTTTCGCCTCGCACGTGTACACGTCGTTGTTCATATTTTCGGTAAGTTGTAAAGTCAACTCCACCGACGATACATATCCATTGTGGAGGCCCGATTTGGTGGTATTCTGCAGCGCTGGTACTGAGTTACCAGACGACATGACCAGGTGACCAGACTTCCATAACGACATCACGGCAGGTGGGTTGCTGCTACTTGACTCGCAAAGTAAGCGACCCATTTGTCCAGCACGGAATTCTTCCGGGTACCGAGTGATGGTTACTTTGTCCGGAGAAACTAAAAAGAAAAGAGAAATGCGTTCATAAGGAGCGGTGCACTTATTACAGTCGACCATTTGATGCGCCGGGCTTCATTTCCTGGACACGAGCCAGAAGTTACCGGTCTTGAAGATGGCTATCAAATTATTATTTAATTCTGACGGCTTATTAAAATGTATATATATAAACTCACAATTCACGTTTAGGACAACGACTTGTACCATAGGCACCACCGTGGCGGAGTTTGAAGCTTCACATCGGATTTCGGCCTTATTGTCCGAGGCGTTGACCATGAATTCCAGATCGCTGGACACCATGTGATCTTGGTTCCTGATTGTTCCAGGCATCTGAAATACGAGTTTCACGTGAAATCTCACTTTCAAATTAAACTTTCTCTCCTTTCCTAAATTTCGAATCTTGCGGAATAGGTCATGCATTTGTTCGTGGGTGGAATATGTATCTATTACATGAATTAGTATTATGCCTGAACAATGCGCCGATCTGTGATGTGGCTTATTGTATTCCCAGGGGCTTCGAATGATTAATAGTAATTAGTCAAGTCTCCCTGCTACTGATACATGAAACTCGTATACGATCTTCGAGTAATATTATTACACGGGTAGGCGGTGCATCCATGAGGGGTGAATAATTCATGGCATCAGTCTACTACAAATGATGGAACCATTCCAGAGAATTCTATTCTATATTATTGAATGTGTCTAATAGTTGCTGTAGTATTGATTTAACAATCCTGCGGTAACATTATTTGTCATGTCCCATATTGGGAATTTCCTTTATCAGGTAACGCGTTCTACTGCTATTTAATAATTAAAACGTTCTTCAACCATCGACTTCTATTCCACGCACCTTTACGTTGTTTTTGTACCACGTTATCGCTGGTTGTGGATTCCCAGCAGTTGCGGTACACGATAATCTAGCGATGGAACCGGCGTTGAACGATGAACTTCCATCGTATCCTGTGATCATTAAGCTCGACGGAGGATCTACAATTGCACAAGAAATGTGATTAAGCTCACAGCTGATGTTCATTTCTTAAACCGTTTTAGGAGGCCCATATACAAGTACTCATGGAAACACAATTTCCGAATTCTAGAAAAAGACAACATAATCGTGTAGAGTAGTACATCCATCTATTCTGCTTATTTCCTGAGTCTCAGAGTGTTCGAAATTCTTTAAGCAGAACAAACTGGGCTACAGTTAACATTTAATCTTGCTAGACATTGCTGAATTTTCTCAATGTCAAAATTTAAGCAACTTCTGCTTTCAGAGTCGACTTACATATAACACTGATGGTATGTGTTCCCACTACGTTCTCCTGCAGCTGCACGTTAAAGGCATGACACAGGACCACGACTGAACGAGCTTCTTTGCTGATGGTGACGTTTACAGAAGAGCTGGTGATCCATCCACCTTCGGGAGCGGGCATTTCCCTGGAAGTGCTGTTTTCCACCGTGCGATCATCGATGACCCACCGAATGGTGGCCACAGGGTTTGAGTTTTTCGTCGTGCAAGTCAGTTGCACCTGTTCGTTGGCTCTAGCCTCCGTGGGGCCAGAAATCGTCACCCCTTCCGGAGCAACTGCAAGGAGCCACGTAAACACGTGCAATAACAAGTGGTGGCGCATTTTCTCGAGGTTTGGTATAAGAAAATACCTAAATGAAGACCTTAAAAGTTCAGATTTCAGGAACTTACAAAGAACTGTGAGGTCGACGTAGACGGACATGGGCGTGGTGCTCATGACGTTCGAAGCTTCGCAGGTGTATCGCGCTTTGTTGTCCTCGGCTTTGGCTTGGAAGGAAAGAATGTTCTTCGAGGTTTTCCCTTCCGTGAAGTAGGTTGACTTTATCTGCTCGTTGTTCTTCCACCAGACCACCTGAGCAGATGGATTCCCACCACGAGACAGACAAACCAGGTCCACGGTCTGCCCTCGTCGAACGGTTTCACCCTCGTTGTAACCCTCTATCTGCGGCTGACTCGGCGGATCTTTTGGAAAAATAGGATAACCTCAGAATAAACCCGTAGGAACTTCTCTACAACCTCAAATAAACATAGACGCAATGTTTGACCCTTCATTAACCCGAATTTCTGAAATTGTCATGAAACTATCGAGTCAGCCTCGTCATAAGACCGCAAAGCGTTAAGAACAATGTATCCAATACACGGCTAAACGTTTTTCCACATACTCTTAACTAATACTTTCCACGTCGTTTTCAATATTAAGAACTCCAACTTCTGAATTTTATTTTGTCCCCTTGGTAATTTATTTCCTTCTCCAGGTCGTCTTTTCCCCGATGAACCTATTGTTAATGTTAAGGCACGTGAGTGAATGAAAGTTTGATAGTTGTTTTCCGAGATCACGGAACGAATGGACAGGATCAGTCATCCAATTGACTTAAAGGGGCACATTGTTGAGTTTTCTTAAAAAGAAAAAAAAAAAGAAAAAATAGAAAGAATATTATACTCGGGCATTTGTGAAATTTCTTCCCGATCGGATTCCGTGCCGTCGACGTCAGCATATTTACGATGTCAGCATGGTACGAAGGTATTCCTCAGTGCTTGGAGAGGAAATACCGAGAGGGCAGCTTCGATCGGATACTTGACAAATATTCCGGAAGTTTCCATTTCGATAGACTTACAGAGAACGGAAAGTCGGACCGTAGTTCGCATTGGCTTGTCCACGGGAATGGCCGGATGTACAGCTTCGCAAATGTAATTAGCCTTGTCGTCCTGAGCGGTTGGTGTAATGGTGATGTTGCTGTACGTGTCGTACTTCAGCAATTTCCTGTTAGCCTGGCCGATTTTCTCCTTGTCTGCAAAATAAAATAATCACGAGTCGTAAAGAAATTCTTTCTATGTAAATAATAATTCATTTGAACGCACTCTTCAGGATAATTTAACCCATTACATGGAGGATGAATACTTGAGGCGCTCAAAATGGGAGACGTGTTTAATCTATACCTGTAGAAGGATACAGTGCTCTAGGGTTATTCCACGCTTGAAAATTTGAATTCACGTACGACGAATTAGCGAAGATAGATCGTGCAAACTCTTAGGCACTCCGATGTCGGAATTTAGCCCAAGGACATTCGAAAGAAATTTAGTTTATTACCCAGGGAAGAATAAAGTTTCGTAATTAAACTTCTTCCTCGGCCGAGATTCTCTCGAATGGGCAGAAAGGATTTGCATTATTATCAGTCCTGGCTCAATGAATTATTGCAATGCGGAATTAAACAAAGGCAAAAGTAAATACACATCGCGGTGGAAGATTTCGGAAATAAACGTTAAGGGCACTAATGAGCATCCAATTAAAACCTGCTAATGGGATCTCATGTATGGTTAGCATATCGTCGATATGTAAATGAAAGTCGATACGTGAAACCAGTCGAAAAAGAAAACGGACCAAAGTTCTGGACCAATCATGGTTGGTTGAGTGTTTCTTTCGCAGAAAAGGGAAAAACACGGCGTTTTTGGTCCAGGGTAAAAAGATACACCCCCTCGCCGCGATGTTTCTCCGAAATTTTATCGTTACCAATTCAACTTCACCCGGATAGGGACTCGTCCGAGTTTTTCTCGTCGTTTTTCGAGGACTCGGTGGAAATTGACCAATTCCCGAGCGTGCACGTACGAGTCCAGAAATCAGGGCGCCAGGATGGGTCCGAAAAGAACTCCGAAAATTCGCGCCAATGGATCGATTTCCATTTTCGCTTTGTTGAGCGACAACCAGAGAGGGCTAAAAGGGAGGTTGGAAAAATTCAATTTTTGTGGTCCAACTTGGGCCCCAAATTGGTGTTTCTATCCCATCAAAGCGAACATCGAGTCTCTCTTAGATTTGCCCAGACATTGAAATGATATATGAAGTTCATCATTCTCTATCGATATCGAGATTAAATACCTATTTCTCGTGTCTTGCGGTACCTCCTTCCAGCTTTTACGGTTCTACGTGCGAAAGATGGGAGTAGATCTCATTACTAGATAGGACTTGCCATCCACTCCGAAGATGCAACGAGCCCCTCCAAATGACGCGTAACTCGGTACGTACAGATGGATACCGGCGATTAGATGAAAGAAAAAAAAAAAAAGGTAATTAAATTTGCTACCAGTTGCTAAGCCAGTTTCCACCATAAACCAAAAGGGCTTTCTCTGCCATACGTTAATCCCATGAGTCCAGCCAGTAAACGGGGTCGGGTATCCTTGTCTGCGTGTTCCCCTAAATACACGTAAAAGCGCAACTGCATTCCTTATGACGCTTAAACCCAGTAAGTAATATCGTGGCCTTTGTAAACTCCACGGAGACTCGTACTTATTCCGGTGGCCAGGACGACATTAAGCTCAGGTAATTATAAACCGCTCCAGAACAAGTCTCAAGCACGGATAACTTTATTTCCCCTTCCCTACTCGTTTCTGAGGCGACATGGATAAAAAGCTTCATTTTTAATTGTCGACTGGGGAAAGGTCTCATCCATCACAGATCACTTCACATCCGAGGATTAGCCTCTGAGAGGTCAATTCACCCTAACAGTTTCCACTGGAAGACTCATTTAATCGGATATCAATTTGCCTTCGTCGAGAGTAAAGTCCACTTGAATTTTTTCCTGATATCCACAGATTGGAAGTCGAGCAATTTCGAGTCGTCCAAGCAGCGGGCCTTGATTAGCAGGTGAGGGCTGGCCTCGGAGAGAAAAACGGCTCCAAGAATCCGATCGATGCCCGATTTACCTTTGTCTAGCGACAACGGGGGCATGGCGAGTTGTCGGGGACAAAGTGAGATCCCGGGCAGGCGCGGCCAGCATTTCAGAGGTCGGTAACGAGTAACATTACATACTGGAAAAAAGCGAATCGCCTCTGTGTCGGGCCGCGCGAGAGCCCAGAGATGTGTAAAACTTTAATGTATAACAGAAAACCACTTAAATCTCTGCTAAAAGCCCCGGGGCAAGCTCTTAACCGTTCAACCTCGCCTCGTATTTTCCCTGGATACTCGGCCGTGAGTATGTAACCGCGTGGTCGCGCGTATGTGCTCCGGATGTTCCCCGGACACGTTCCGGTTAGTTCGAAGGAAGATATACTGGGCGATGTCGATTTCAGAGGGACGGTACTTGACCATTTCACCGTAATTTAATAGCCAGCCGGTAAAAAGTTCGCCATTAGGCAGAAAAAACGCTGGACCATTTCCGGTCTGCATGTTGAATCTCAACAAATGGGAGTTATTACTTCTTTTTTTTTCCCCTTAGGAAAGTACTGAATTCCGTCCTGGTGCTACTTCCCAAAGGAGATGCGCTTTTACCCCGAGAGCGTGGATTAAATAAAAAACGAGATAAAGTGCTAGCCGAGGTAATTTTGGATTTTTCGTTTCTGTTATCTCTGATTGCACAGAGGTTCCTCACGTTCTACGGTCAGGTCTCTCCGTGAAATGTTAGTTTATCTAGAAACTAGAATACTGGTACCCGTCAACCATTTTCCGAGCAGCTTTAATCGACAGAGTTTCGTTACGGCCAATAATGAAATTTTTCCACCAAACGGATGTGTCCATTTCTTTTTTCCCGGATGTTGAGAGGACCTGCAATTTTCCTTCCATGTCCTCTTCATCGTTCGGAATTCCCGATGACCGGTTAAATGCTTACAGAGAGTGGAGGACTTTTTCTGGTGGAGGCAACGAACGTTGATTTTGGCACTTGGACCTCGGCCAGAATCGAGTGCCGACTTATCGACCGAGAGGGACAGCAGAAGCTGCGGCCTGGCGACTGTACATACATTTTTCTTCTTCTATTTTCCCGACGACGTCGCGATTTATTCGCTCGGCGGACAGATTTGAATTCCCAGTAATGCGGGGGAAAATCCGCGGTGGTTCAAGGGGGTGGAAATGTCCCCAGGGACGGCCATGGTGGCTGGGAGCGTCGAGATGTCCAAAGAGACGCCCGGCGAATCACCCGGGGGCTTTGATCCCATGGGAAAGTCGTCTGCATCGAACGGGAGACCAGAAAGAAACAGGATTACCTTGTTAGAAGTCGAGGTGAATGCGCCTTTTAGGTCGCTTTGCAACTTGCAAAGGTGGTTTGCAATTGCCATATGATTCCGCAAAGGGCTACCTGGGATAACGTCCTTTCCTACCGATTCTTCTCCTTTCATGCTTAGAAATATTTTATACGCGAGTTCATTTCAATAGATACACTACATGTATAAACGTATTTAAAGGAGAACCGTGCTTCTCTCTCGATTTAAACAAATATTTCTTGTACACTCCTTTAGTATTTTTTTGTTAAAAGTTCGATGGACTCTTGTTTCATGTCTCCTCAGCTGTTATTCGCGAAGAAATTTTTCTTTGCAGGAATTTATAGTCGAGTAAGTTAATTAGACCGAGTTAAACAGTTAAATGAATTAGAGCAGGTACCGACTGGAGTTTGAACTTTGATATCAAGGGAACTGATAAATTATTATTGAGTGAAATATCGGTCTCCGACCCTGGTAGTTAAATGAAAACAGATTATTTTCTGTTTATTGTAAAAAAAATTCCGCGGATACTGGAACCGAGTTTCGTTTTATAATAATGGATGCTCGATCAAATTTATGTGACGAACAGATCGTATCCCCGTTGCATTTTTAATTGGAATTTCAATTTAATTCTGTACAAAATTATATTTACACGATAAACATTGCTCGGGAGTTTTGATTATGGTAATCCGAGAAGAGGATTATACGAAACTGGAATAAATTAATATTATAATTGAACTTTCATATTTACTCATCGTATTTTGTGCTATTGTTTTTTTTCCAATTCAATGTGTTCTTTACAGTCAGTACCAATTTATATGGTGCAGTTAGATCAATAGGTTTGCCCTTTTAGCAAATGGAACTTATACACTTATGGAAACAATGATCTAGAGTTTGTCAGCATAACTTTTGGCATTTACAAAGTCGTTATTTCTCTGCGATATGAAGGATTCCGCGGCAAAATGTGTAATATAGGCTCGGCGGTACATTGTTTGACATCAAATTGCGATTTTCGTAATTAACGTGATCCCGCGGAACCACTAATTTTCGCATATTACACGTGATTGACGCAAAGTCGATCATGTACCAATTCAAAGGATTCCAGAAATTCGAAGGAGCATTTTTAAATCCAATCTAATACCGGGGAATTAAATGCAATCTACATTACCGTTACATGCTTTATGCCTGAGGTTAATTTCGGATAGTTAAAGAAGACTGATAAAAATCAACCTAAGATTAGTGCATAAACTTACAGACCCTCATTTTTTATCGATCGGTTATTATACTATTGCCATTCACGTTGAGTTATTCGTTCAAATTTAATGCAATATAAAATTCAATAAATGAAAATCGATTAGGACTTAAAATGTGAACGGCAGTATTAACATCGTTTATTATCGATCGCGCGTTTCTCGCGACGATGATCGCGCTTTACCCTGGAGGTATCGATTTCAGATTTCGAGCTTTTTGTGCGGGGGCAAGAAATCGTGGTTGTTTTTGCCGAATGATCCTTTTTCGGCCGGTCTCTTAAATCTTCGATCGGCAGTACACGACGTGCAATCGCGAGGGCCGTCTTCTTCTCGGCCGAATTTAGACGAAAAGTAGCGCACCGGAGAGCTCCAATCTCTTCCAGGGTGGGACGTCAAAAAGTTTCGAGGCAATTCCTCTCCAGCTTGCGACCTCCTCGTATCCGCTTTACGTCGCGGGAGGAGCGAGAAATCAGTGTCTCGCCGAAATTGCTTTCCATTGCTCTCGTAGCCGCGCACCCCTCCGAAGACGTCTTTGCGCTCCTCCACCGGGAGGAAATAAAGAGGGATGAAGCAAACCCGGACAAGACGCGAGGACGAATTGATACCGGTCGATACCAGTCGTGCCAATTCGGACAAATTGTCTTATTGAAACGCGATGAAAAAGGACAAATTATTACACAGGAACCGGGAGTAATCGCTTCCGCGTTATGGAGCCGCCATAAGTTTCGGAGTCTCGAGAAATCCCCTCGAAACCGAATCGCCTGGATTCAATGAGATCATAATTAACCCATAACGGGGAAAGGCAACCTTATTTCTAGCATTAAACTCCCGTAAATCAAAGATTTCAGTCCATTAAATACCCCTCCTAGTTTACAACTAATAGGAGTTTCTCCATTATCAAGCTAAAATCTGGATTGTATCAATGTTTGACCAAAAAAATGAATGTGGACATATTACCAATTGAAATCGGATCGTAATGGTTGATTTGGAATTTAGGATTTTAAAACCGTCATTACGATTAGGACTCATTCAAGCGTCATGCAAAAGGTAGGTGCTTGAATGGTTCCAGGACTAATTTGTCAGTCCCTAGAGACACTGCTATTACCCTTGGTACTTTCCCTTAATCCTCCTTTACGGTGTACGATCATTCGAACAGCTGCATATGTAATAAACGATGTGTCGAAGAGGTATCCCGGTAGCCGAGGTAATGGCGGTCAGCCGCTACTTACCATCCTCGATCGGGATCGGCACTACGGACACAACGCCGGCTTTGATGGGGTCGTGGTCGCGGTACCAGATGATGGAAGCCGCCGGTGTGGCAAACCTGACGATGCACTCGAGGCTGTGGTTGGTGCCCGCTTTCACCTCGACCTTCTTCTTGTCCGGGTAGTTCGAGATCTCGACGCTGAGCGGCCGAGCTGAAACCAAAGAGCGAAGCGTTTCATTCCTGGACGGGGTCCACTAAGGTACCGAAATGGTCCCTAACTTGTACCAAAGTCCGTAACGAAGCTTATCGTGCCGAGTACTCGAAACGTCAGTCCACTTCTGGACACCCTTTCCGGCGATCATTTGGGGTCGCGATTGCCCCTTTTAAAGAGTTTCCACCCTTACCAGAGGAGACCAGGTTGCGGACCCTCCTGGCATCAGCGATAAAATTTGTCTTGCGTCCCAAGCGTGGATTACATACAATCGTGGGCTTACTTGCAAGGTACCTTAGGGGAATTAGGTCCACCTTGACTTACAAGGCTTGTAAAAGGTACAATATATAGTATCTTTGAAGGGGATATGAGCAGCACAACATATGACAACACACACAATTGCGTTGACTCTTCACTGCGCTACCGATCAGTAGAGGGAGCTAGGAACTTAACACTTTTATTTTATAGTGGAAAATAAGTATGGGCCTTGTTACCCACATGGGCTTTATTACCTCGAGGTACCTTAGTTGGAGACAGAGTGCCATGGGGCTAGCAGGTTGTAAAGAAACTTTAGTGTTGCAAATTATTGTCTTTGGACTGGCTGTGGGATGGTGGGATCGTTGAGATGGACGCGGTGAACTTATGTGGGGATGCAAAGGTTGAATAGGATGGTGTGTGCGGTTGGATTGCACATTGGGTGCAAACGCGTGGGGAAAGTGTGCACCGTGGTTTCCAATGGTCAGGGTACGCCTGGTATGGTGATCGAGATAGAGTAACGACGTTGTTTTATTAAGTGGCACTCCCCATAAATCATTGATTCCTCCATACAGTGACTGCAGTCGCGCCGCTCCCTGGAGATCCACCCGCGATTTCTGCTATTAATTATTCCTCCGTGCTCCTGGTTGAAATATTAAGGGGTAATTGGCGTGGCTCCAGTGTACAACTGTGAATGCACACGATATGCAGGGAGCAAAGTCGATGAGACCTGAGGGAATGTTGAGAAGGAACGGCGACCTATGTACGATGATCTGGATTTTGGACAATTGCTTCAAACGGATATTCCATCGTGTTATTTTCAATTTTCAACATCCATGGCAAACTTCAGCTTCACAGTTTCAAGAAGTTGCAAGGGTTCCTAATACCCTATCATTTCTCCTCCGTATTTGGAGCAGGAAACGCGGAGTCACTTTTTGGAAGTACGGTTCAGGAGTCGTATCTACGTCAAACTTCTAGTTACAGTAAATGAGCAATTACGGGATCGATGCAACGATACATAGACAACTGGGTCTGGACTTCCCATCGAGGTCAGCAATCTTTGGCGATAGTTGATCCTTTATTGGAAAGTCGAGATAACCCGGTATACCGAGGGACCCGGTAATGGACAAGGATATTCCATTTCTAACGTGGTCGATGTAACCCGGGGTTAATATATCTGCAGTATCGACTGGTACTAACTAGCCCTAAGGGCGATTGGGTTATGTGGTTTATTAAGTTCGATCGAGATGAACGTGGATCCTGGTTAGGTCCCGGTTAACCAATAAACTAATAGCAATATTGTGCCCCGACTGTTGATTCCCAGCTGAGACCTACTTGTGGGCGGATAACCGTCCTTCCCTCTGAGAACGTGCGATTAGTTTATGGATGAATTCTTACCCCATTCCTCAGGGATTAGAGGAAGAGATGCGGAAGGGCCTGGGGAATCAGACCGCACGTTACATCGCTTATCAAACACCGGACGGCTTATCGAAATCCAAGTCCTTTGTTATCCTGGATCGAATTTCATTTTACTTCCAGGTTATGATACCTCGTCCATCAACTCTCAACATCCCCATTACAGGCCCAGACAAACGACTGAACAAGACGGCGCATTAATTTTCTCAAAAGGCCTGCCACATCCTATCCCGGTGCTCAATTGGTACCTTGACTCGCCCTACACGATTCGCCCCGGGTATTTGACGTTATATTTACCCATAACGAGGGTGCGTGAACAAAATGCAAGATCCAGCTTTTTCCAGACCTCGTATTTCTGGTCGAGACGCTTAACGCGGGTCCCAGATGTAACGCGCTCGTTTACGCGTTTCCGTTGACTTTTTCACCTCGGGCTGGGATTTCCCTCGATTTACGCAGCACCCACCCGTTCATACGGACCGCTGCAGCACGCTGCAACGCTGCAGCGTGCTGCGACAAGACCCATGCGGCATGTGCACCGTGTCGCGGACCAATGAGCTGCAATGCAACGCTTCGCGCGTTCACCACCACGTTGACATGTGGTACAACTTGTTCTCCAACGCTTTGCGCCCTTCCGAAAGGTCGGGCTGGGAATATTCTCCAGAAGCCGTTTTGACCTTTTTTTCGTTTTTTTTCACCGTCACAATCCGACAAGTGACGTCGACAAATGGCCACGTCGTGGAAGATCGTTTGCAGGGGGGATATAAACCTCCCGGGGAAGAAGGGGCATCCATTTCATCCTCTTCCACGACCTCGGACACCTCGGCCTGCAGCAACCTCGCTGCAAGGATGCGTCTTCGCGAATCCAATTTTCATCCCTGTCTTTTGGCCGAAGTGTCTTTCGGCAGTTTCGGGGATTCCGTATCGGCACTTACTGTGCGTTTGCGTTTAGGGACGTTGCCCTCGACTTTGATGGGGACCATAGGGATTCGGACGAATCCCTCGACGCGTGCACCTTGTTGGTCTCGAGCCGCTGTTTACCGCGATACTGTTTACCCTGTGCCGGGAAGCGGCAGTCTTTGATCAATCATTACGTGTTTGCCCGATAATCCGGCGCAACGCATCGGATATGCAAGCCGTTGGTTTAAACGTCATACAGGATGCAGTAGAAGGCTCAATCGCCGCCGTTCATGTTCATGGAACCGATGCATCGCGGATGCGGTTCAATGGTGATGCGATCCTTCAATCGATTTTCGAAATATTTACGCTTCCGGTGTGGTTCGACATAATCAAAAAGTTATTTAAACACGTTATGGGTCGTGGGGTAATGAAATGGGACCGGGGATCAGCATTTGCTTTACTCTGCTTTCCATTACTTGGAGGAGCAATATACAGTGTCAAATATTGGGGTGTAACAAAGTTCGATCGATTTAAACACTTTCGCATAATGCTTAAATTATCGTAGAGATTTGGGGGATTTATGTATTTTGCGAGGTCCTTAGAAGCGCACTGGGCGATGAGAGGCGGAAAGCACCTGCATTACGGAAAACAAACGCAAGGAAAGTTAATTATGTCAATCGGGACAAAGATCTCTGCATTAATTTTCTTAATATCCCTACGTCTTTCGCCAGGGTGCTTTCATTGTACAATCATTAGAATCGTGACTTTGGTCCCCGATCAATTTGCAAGGCGACCGCCCACTTCATCGCGCGTTTTACCATTTTGTTTACCAAACATGTATTAAATCATAATAAAATTTTAATGAAACGTTTAAGGGAGACCATAGTCACCAATAGGATCCAGCAAACGGGCGTTGATAGGTAATTAGTCACCGAAAGATTCCAAACGGTTAATAAAGCTGTTCCATCACCGCGCTTTGTAGACCCTCCCATTATCCGCGCGCATACCCTTCAACTCGGTTCCGAATCAAGATTCATAAAGGAAGACATAAAGGGATAGAAAACAACAAGAGCCTCAACGCCGTCTTTTCCTTATCATTTAACAGCCCCTTTTCCTCTTGGCATCGGCACTTCCTTTCCCATGATCAAGGCCCATTCCGGGGAGCGATGATCCCGTCCCGTTCCGCACACTCGATTACCGTCCGTCGAATAGACCGGTGTCTTTCGCTCTCGCCGATGGATCCATTTCACGAAGAGCACTCGTACCTCCGGGAGCACCGGGGGCTATATCTGATCGCGGGGGGCGGGAGCTCGCAAATGGTCATCCACTTTGCATTCCGACTCCCCGGCTCTCCGGCCTTGCAAACAGGAACGACTTTGTAACGTCATAAGTACACTTTGCAGACGCAAGTGCGGATGGAGAGCGGCTCTTCCGCCGCGCCGGAAAGGGTCTCATCTGCCCTCATAAACGGCGATAGTGGCATTATGCGATGCGGAGCACGGCGATGCGTGCGTATTTGCCCGCGCCGGGACGACCCGGTGCAATTGTCGGTGCACACGGCTGGTGCATGGGGTAGCGCGATTTGTCGCAACTCGGTGCGCGCCCCAAAGTCCAAAGGCAAACGCTGGTTATTAGTTTTTATTTAAACCGGGCTGCACACTAAAAATTAATGAATCCGGGCAAAGCCGAGCCACCGGTGCATACGTCGCGCTGCATGTTCAAGCAGTCCTCCGCCGGCTTATGCACCCTCCCCGCGATTCGGGACTCCGACGCTTATGATAACGTAATGCCGCTGTCCTGCAATTTCCTCGCCCCTCTGCAATAACGCGATCGCGCCTTCGAATTCCCGTCCGGTTTCGGGTGGCGTCGTTAAAGGGGTCCGCGAGATCACCAACGATATTCCATGCCCCTGAGTAATCCGCGTCACTTTTCTTGATGAAACCTGGGGTCTTCTGGCCTCGGCGATGCCCTGCTACCTCCGAATGACCATCCTCTGGGGACACCCCCAACGGTGCACGCTTTCTTCACGGGGAACGGACGCTCCGCACGCGGAAACAAACGTCCCTCCTGAGGTCAAGGGATGGTCTCTCTTCCGACTCCGGAGTTCTTGAGACGAGAGAACCGACTGGTCTGACGAGGCCAAAAATGAGGTGAAGGCCTTCCGCTCTGGGAATCGCGGTTGGAAACAATTAATACGTAATTTGGTTTATGAGCTTTTTTAATATTAAGGTTCCGAGGGGATTAAGGTTATCAGTGGATCCGCAGGTGGAGTGCTTTCTCGGGTTAATGCAATTGTCAGGAAGAACGTGCGGTGTCGCGCCGGACACCGGCATGGAGAGGCGGTGGGTCTGGACTCCAGACTTTCCTGAGTATCGCGAGTACACTTCGCATAATGCGCGGCTTTTCTTATTTCTCCGGCGAGTCGGTCCCTT